GGTCTACTTCGTTATTAGTACTGCCCTAATAATATACTTAATCCTAAAATTGTAGACTTGTCATGATATAACTGCTTAATCTATAAGATCTTACGTGGAAGTTACATCACTGTCTACACCAACTCATCGCGTCGCAACAATCACAGATATATGGTGGAGAACAAACCTAAGCTAGAGGAAACACATTATATTTAATATGAATAAAAGATATAAGAAAACACTCAAGAGTGACCATCCCTGCAAGGCCGAGTTGTGCCATCCGATTGATTCCAGCTAATTCAATTCAATATTTTCGCCTTCTCCATCGTTGAGTTTTTCTCCGCGTTAAATGCTGAATGTCTATTTTCCCAGATGTCTCGTGTCCAGCTTTGAGGATTGTGGGATTAGGGCAAAATGCCACTTCAAGACCTTCAGAATGCCTAAAGGATTACTGCACGTAAGACACCACATGACACTTTGTTTCGCCTCGATTTTTGTGTTATTATTTCCAAACGAACAAAAACAAAATATTTTTAATATGCTCATATAATTTTAATGTTTCCATCTGGAAAAGAAACTAAACTTTTTATTGATATTATGTTTGTTTACATGTGTATATTTTTATTTTCTCAAAAAAAACAAGTCATTTCGAGATCTTTTCCACGCTATTGCATGTAATCAGAACGCATTTATATAAGTTTGTTTTACTTTCTTCGCCTATTGTGTTTTTACGCACGTACGAGTGTATTTCGAAATGTACTCATGTGTCCTTTCTTTCACTCTTATAACGACTAGAAAAAAACCCGATGAAGCTCAAGATGGATCGAAATTTTCATTGTACCTGTTTTTTAATACCTTATTTCACAACATGGCCCCTTATAATAAACAAAGTCAACCAGGCGCTGCTGAACATGTCAAGCTATCAGAAGGTTGTTTACCGACGACAAACCCCTTGAGTTTCGACTTCTGACTGGCCAGGTCATAGGGTTAGAACTACCCGACAAGCGGGTTGAATGATCTGTAGACGTAAATAAATCTCCTAAACCAATAGCTCTGTAAATCTTCGGCATTTGATGCTGACCGCATTAGTTTCACTGATCTCACCTAAGTGAAGACGCCCGATTACTCACCCGCACCAGATTACGATCGTGTGCGCAGTGCCACACGTCTCCTACGACCACTAGTCATCGTAAATTAATCACTTCCTTACATATCGAGAGCATGTCAAATATATCTTTGAACGTCGTTGCTTCTGACTTCCGATTTGACTGGGTTAGCATGTTTCGACTATATAAGGTGTTACTGGTTGAGGTGTTGTCAAATTCCGAATACGTGTGGCATCTTCAAACCAATGAGGTCAGCACCAATGTAGAAGGCTAGCAAAGCCATGTATATCGAGGGTTTCTTTCCAGTGTATGCTTCATTATTGCACACTCGCAGCCAACCCTAGCTCGAAAATCAAGGCTTGCGGTTGACAGAGGTCAGAAGAAACACAACATGGTTAGCCCTCGTAATCGTAGTGGTCCTATTTGAGGTGGGTTTGTTTAAACTAATCCACGCGTTTTAAAAAAGGATCAGAGAAGACTTTCCTTTTGTCTTCAAATCAATTACGTGGTAAATGTTCGGGATCTAATATTTCATCACCCTTCTTTTCCTCTATGACAGAAGGTTTACATTTCGTAAAAGTTCGCAAGCTCAGAATCAATTGCATGTTAGCTGACCACTGAATTATAAGTACGTGGAGCTCCCTACCTCATCGCATGGTTCAATTTCCATCTATCGATATGCACAAAAGTTGTAAAAACTGAAAGACTTCATCCACCAGGACTAACACAGGGAACCTAGCCTCTCGTCTCTCTGAATTTTAATCCACCATTTGAAAAGTCCCATATGGAAAACTGGTCACATTGAAACTCAAATTATTCTAGTAGCATTAAGTGCCAGCGAAAATATACAGGACGAAGCACACATCCTATCATGCTTAAAAAGGTGACAGAAGTGATAAATTCTGCCTGACTGTGATTGATTGATAGGTCAAGTGTTGAGACTATTAAACTAATAGTTGAGAATAATTCATTACATTATTGCAAACTGGAAGCTCAATAAGATGTTTTTTGCGGTATAAATTTAGCAATGCTGTGAACGTTGAAAGTTGATTTTAGAGCTAGGAAATTATTTTCTAGTTTTCTTTGCAATGTCTTCGCCATAAGAACAGTTTACTGAGCGGGCCAATCGAGTACACGAATCAGGCTGTTGAGTTTCGTCTGATGTTTGCTTTAGGTGGCTATGCCCACAAATCAAGAATGCTAGGCAGCAACAATTTAAGCTATGGTTGACAAAACATGCTCTGGATGCTGTGGATCTACAAGAGCTAAATCAACTCACGATAAAATTGGAAATTATTTTCATTTTGAGAGCATATCAAATGTCCAGAAAATTCTCATTCAGTCTTGTGGTAAACAAACAAAAAATGTACAGTACCTAAAAGTTTGAGGATAGTTTCAATATTATCCCTAAGTTAATGGAACCAGGAATCTATAATGATAGAACATGCAAGTTTGCTTGAATTACAGGTCGATGTGTCGTAGTGTATGGATTCTGAGCTGACTAGATATCATAGGAGATATGCTGCACAGTGTATCCAAAAGTGATTTAGAGAGGATACTTGACCTACCGCCTTTAGTTAAATGTGTCCGGTAAAACTAATATGAACAGAGTAAACATCGAAGGCTTATTAAGCTTCTTGTTTTTGGAACCAATTTACCATCACAGTCTGTCAGCTAGAGCGTACAGTCCATACTTTTCTATCATTAATAAAATAACACCGACCCCGTAATCACTTGTACATTCGTATAATAATATTATGAAAACTCTCTTCTTAATAAGTTAACTGGGTACTATGTTCATTCAGGCTAAACTTTAGTTAATTAACTGTCTTCACACGAACGTATATCAAATGTTGAAGGTTTTCAGTTCAACAGAATTGGAAGGTGACATTATTGGAACTCTTTAAGCAGGATGTTGAGATGATAATGATAGGGAGGAGTTAGTAATTTGACTTTTAAACCCATACTAACCTTGTTCAATTTTTATGAAATATTGGTTATGAGAGTTAAGTCAGCTTTCATGCTATGACAATTACAAAATAAGTGTATGACAGGAGACTCCTTCGTAATTCAGATTATTTATCTCGAAGGTTTATGTGCACAACTTCAGACACTTGAAGCATATATGACCGGAGCCAGGTTAATGGGGTCAGATTTAAACAACACTAACGGTAAATAATTAGGTTAGCACTGAAAAAAGAGGGATCCGTATTGTGATTGAAAACAGACAATAAGAAGCATTGCTTCCAGATTTAGTGCTAGTCGACACTTTTCGGTGTGGCGTATCAGTAGTTTTGACTTTTCTGTGTCAGAACGTCTAGGGGTTTTGCCCGATTGTTTACGATTGCCTAGTATCAAAATAAAGTTATCGAATCGAAAGAGTCAGCTCTAAACAAAAACATAACATTGCCTACTAAATAGGTATTTAGGCTGAGAAGGCTTATCAAAAGCGTTCCGTTGGTATGCCGATAATTGTTGACTTCAAGAAGGTAAAACTGCCTCACGAAAAACCGAAAGTATCGGGACACATTGTCACTAGAAAATCTGTATGCAGGCAAGATGGTAATTCAGAGAACTGTGGGCAAATGTAATACACGAAAACGCATGAAATTAATGTGATATATCTAGGCCCAAATTTAGTGAAAATGATTGTCTAATTTTAGTTTAAGTTTTGTTGCATTCGTTATTCAACACTGATAGTGATCATATACCATTTCTAAAATTGAAGCTGTTACAGGTCGACTTAACTCGGAATCGCATGGCAAAGCAACATAAATATCATATTCGTCTCAAACATACACTACTTAACTTAGAAGACTCAATATTCTGAATCAAACTGTTATATTTACGCAAAATTCTTAGTATTTGGATAGAGTTCAGGAAAACATCCAATTAAGATGGTAGATAAAAGCTATAAAAATAGACAGCCGTTGCAAAACTACGAACACCAACAACTAGGGGAAATGCAAAATACTGTAAACTTCCACTAACGTTTGATCGAAAGCCGTATTCTAATGAGCACAGTCAAGTTAGGAAAATAAAAGTTACCATAAATCAATGTAATTATCATAAAGTAAGTTTTGAAAGGTAATCAAATTCAAGAACTTACTTCTTGTGAACTCACAACAAATCTGACACTGACAGGTCTAATGAGAACTGGGAAATGAATGATGGAAAAATTATCGCTGAAGGACCCGTTAGTCTTTGGTATTATCGGTAAGGGAAATTCTAAAGAGGTACAACGGTGTGATCAAGATTAGCGACGTTCGGACCGTCAGGACACCTGAGGTACATTTGTTGCTTAAGTCACTAACGTAAATGATTATCGGCAACAATTGATGCTACAATACAAATGCCAACGAACGAGCTTAGTGGTCCAGTAGTGAAATCATTTTTCCGGTTTATTACTTCAGACCTATTCTGTTGTTCACGTAACTGATCTAATCCGTTGCGTAGTCATTTCCCTATTTTTGTTTTCTCTCTTGGGTAGAGCCGCATACGCCCGTGAGAGGATGATGCTGAAGGGAGTTAATTGGAAACTTAGTCATGAATACAGTCATTACTATTTATTATTAAAAAGGAGGTCATTTTTCTTGGCTTATCAACATTTAGGCCACTGTTGTGACATACAGGTTAGGCATAATGGTAAAATCTGATTGGTGGTTATAGATATTTATGTGATGCACTAACATTGTGAATATGGGTTCAATCAACACTTGTATTGAACAAAGTTTAACATATGCATATGAATTTCGTGGGTAACTGCCCCATATATATATATATATATATATATATATATATATATATATATATACATGAAGCATATAACGCGAACAACTTGAGACATTTGCCAACTTTAGGGGAATTTACTAACTGTATAACAGGTATCAGAATAACCAATAAAAAAGCAAGCAATAATGAAACCTCTCTCTTTTAATACAACGCTATTTCCATGAAAAAAGTAATATATATCTCACAGGTACATGTATCTTTATTTAAAGTTAGGAAAAACACTCATAAATTCGTGTATAATTGTAACGACAATGAATGTATTAAACTACTTTACGTCAGCAGATAGTTATTGCTGCTATTTTCGGTGATGCTGTTGATGTACAATTGGGCAGCTACTATTGACTGATGTAATAACAGATGATTCTTTATAATTATTAAGTGTCTGTAGGTCTGCATGCATCGCACAGCTCATATTTGAAGATGACGACGAAGACGACGAGGAGGAACATATTTGAGAAGTTAACAAACAAGATGAAGATAAGTTGGTGTGGAAAGTAGTAGTAATAGGTTTTGTAAAGATTAGATTCTGCTTGTCTTTATAATGATAAGTTGCTTGAGCGTAAATTTCAGGGTAACTTGCAAAGTCTGTGAATGAAGTTATGGATGGGATGGCTGGTGCACAAAATCTAGAAGTCTGTAAAAAAGTATTATTAATACCACTATTATCATGATTTACCGAAGCAGAGTGGATAAGTATGTTACCGCGTGTATTTGTCGAGGTATTAGTAAACAATTGACCTATATTGCATGTTGGCAACAGAGACGACATCTAGAAATAATAAGAATCAATTTTATGGAAGTATTTCTCTCATCAATAATATGATCACAATATAGAAAATTAATTAGTGGTTCGTGGCCTACAGACATATTTTGGTGTGTGAATCTCTAAGTTTCATTCTGTATTGGTTTTTGCTTATCCCTAATACATATGTGTCGATGGCTACTCATTATTTTGTAATTCTGTTTGCATAACGGATACATGTCTTTGTATTTTTTTCACGTCAGAATCCACGCATCGAACAAATAAATACATTGTAAAAGAGTTCAGATCCCTTAATATGTGTCTGGCATTTGGACTTCACTGAACATTCATGTAATGACGATTATGAATTCCTAGGTCAAAATATAACGCTGAGTGAAGTATATTCCATAATAACAGAATTATAAAGAATTAAGTGAACTCTTAAAAACTAAATTCAGCTTAGATTCTCAACTTTGCTGGTAAGAAATTGTCAATTGTACATGTGATGCCTTATGTGTTTGTATCCATTGAATGCAGTTGGCGGATTAGTTTGCCGAAAGCATGGTGAGTTCTTGTAATATTTGCTATCTTTGGCATTCAGGCTCCTGTCTCCGTTAAAGATGTAGATGGACACATATACGTCAAAGCCTTGGCGCAGTTTCTGAAGAAGTAAGATGCATAACATTCCTTGATTGCATTGTAGAACCGGTAAGGTAAGGTTACCTGATTGGACGGACGTGGTGAAACTATCATCAGCCAACCAGTTAGCCCCTTATAACCCTGACTGGTTTTATATTCGATGTGCCGCTATCCTTCGGCATTTATACATCAGGCCACTGGCTTGACAGGCTTAAGCAAAGCATTCTCTAGAAAGAAGCGCAATGGCGTCAAACCATCCCATCGTTCCCTGGCACATTGCTCAGTTATAAGGAAAGCCATTCAACAAATGGAGGCACTCGGAATGTGTCAGAAACGTGAAAATGGGTAAGCTGAACTTTTGTCATAAATGTGATCTTGAAATGAATTAAACCATCGTGAGGTTAGAAGAATAAATAAACACCTCCATTTCAATTTATTCAACTGGCATTAAGGGTATTGAACAGTAGCCCGTCCTGATTGCTTCTGTTGCTGTATGTGCGGTAGCATCGGTCATGTAAATTTTTAAGCATAACAGTTCCAGTGATACATTTTAAAAAAAGTGGCGCTGACTAGATTATACCCGTGGTAGGTTTTGATAACATCCTCATGTCAATTTGAAATGCTTGTCAATATGTGCTTTTGCTAGCTTCAGCATTTGTGTAGGCGTCTATCTTTTAACACTGAGAGAACGCAATGTGAAAATAGGCAATTTTTATGTACTAGAAATGCGTGGTCCTGATGAACTCGGTTATATTGAATAGGCGATTTCCGATTACGTTGTCGACTTGCAAGACTTTAAATCCACTAGCCTGTCGAAATAACTACTGCGTAATCTGCTTCGGTAAAATAAGTACTTCCTGTTAGTTGATATACGTTTGTGCGTCCTGTTTTTTTAATTGATTAAACTTTGATTGATTTAAAATTTACAATTAGGAATAACTCTTCCAAATTTAATTTCAGTGGGAGATCTCTTACATCAACTGGAAGGCGCGATTTGGACCGCCTGGCATATCAAATTCTTAAGGAGCGTCATTAATCCCTGAAATATAATGTTATGGTTTAATAATGTTTTCTTTATGACGATGCCTCATAAAAGACAATATCAATGTAGATGTCACAGGATGATCTTTTTCAACATCCCAGTTGTGCTTACATAGTAGGTTAGCTTACACGCCGCAGAATGTTGCCCGTTATCCAGATATCGTGCAGCAAATTAATCAATTTGTGCAAAGTAAGCTGGATAAAACGCTCGGTCAGCCTGCATCCTGGAGTAGGACACGTGCTTTACGTCATTCCCTAGTCCTAATCGTTCGTCATTACGTCTTATAGAAAACCTATGAGAATGTGTTTTATAAGCTGTTCTAACAGGTTTGTTCAATGGTATAAAAGATGGTACGATAGGTTGTTTCGTTGCAATCTGAATTCGTTCCCATATTGATCAGTTACAACTAGGAGGACCATCTACTACATGCAATCACTATATCCTGATTTGAAATCTTGAGCTATTTCAACAAGACTAACATCGCAGACTTTATGACAACGTACAACCAAAGTAAACCTGATATGTGACCTATAAAGCTGTCTGTAATACGTTTATTGCCTAAGAGTTAGGTTGGTTATCATAGCATATGACCTATATGAAGTGAGTAAAACAAGAGGCCTATGCGACAAAGGACATGGTCCATTTTTACAACCTGGTTTCCCATTCTGTCTTTACACCCCAAGCTAGAGACTTTTGTAAAAGTAGTATGAATTGTTGTTTGTCAGAAAACGGCAGTGGGGCGTAGCTGATGTTTTGCCTAAACAAACGGGGCCAGGGTAAATGTATAGAGTTTTGATACAGGAAGTAGCTACCTTAAGCCAAAAAGCCATAGTCTGAGCTGCGGGATGGATTTTCAATACGAAGGTACTGAGTAGTTCGCACTTTTTGTCCGACACTGGTCGATATTGACTTTGTATTAACTAAAGACACTAAACATTAACGGTAGATCGTGATGGATGTAGACCTTCTCTGGAGTAATGAAGCTTGAAATGATGTGCCAGAACAGTGATGATCAAGTTACACCTAAATTACGTAAATGACTCTGGCGAGACCTCACCATGCACATTTGGTTGCAGTCAATTTTGTCGACTGGTCCATGTCTACAGTTTTAAAATCTCACTTGTCACGTCCGCACACATTCACTAATATAAAGCTGGAACCTGACACGGTCCGTTGAGAAATATTTTGACACAAGATCTAACGTGCTTCAAATACCATCTGCGTCAGACTAGTTCTAAATTCCCTACTTAGTGTAATGTGATGTTGGTCTAATTCAGAAGATATGAATGTTTTTTAACTTTCAACTGAGCGTGTTTCGTGAAAGCGTGCGAATTTTATACTTGTTGACTGTACTGGACAGTCCAGGGTGTCGTGCTTGTATTTGCGAAGCGTCGACTCTGGAGTGTTGTAATTCGGGCGACGGCGTATCCCGCTTAGTAAAGATAATACGATGTTCATGATAAGATCTAGCCGTTCTCACTGGAAGCCTATACAACCCAACGATTATCTTCCTATTTCAAATTTCTTGTTCGTAGTTACGTGCTTCTAGTGTTTAGGAACAGAAGGCAGTAATCAACTGGTTTATAACATTTCCTGTCTGGTGTTTATCATGTGACCTATAAAGTTTTTAGAAGACAATTTCAAGTGTGAGAATACAGTCTGAATGCTACATTTCCAAGTGTTGACGATCAGGTTTAGTGAGATGGCATATTAAGTACGCGTCCTAGGAAACACATGTAGTCGGCCAGAATGCTTTCTTAATTGTTGTCCATTTGAAGCGTACGAGTCGGATGAGTCACGTCTGGCAGGCGTGCTTTTATTGATAAACGTATTGCACACAACGCTTACCGGAAATAAGTTAACGACTGGAGGATTTTCGAATTGATTTTCTAGCTCTAGTGCTTGTACTGATGCTGCCTATGATGATAGTGGTAGTTTTGTTTGAGTAACATATAAAAAGTCTATGTGCATAGTGAAGTCGTCTTTTATATACAGCAAGGCTTTACGGAAACAAGAATGATGGATGCAGCAAACAAATTGAAAGGGTTAGAAGTGTATATGAATTTGAATTCAGAAGGCTTTCGTTGACTGTGTGTATAAGTTCATATAGGCGTATCGTGACTGCACACTAGACTGCAATTCTTGATATAACGCATTAGCATCTAGTAAAAAAAGAGAAAGTAGTTCAACGCTTATATAAAGTGATATGACGGGATGAAAATTCAAAATTAAATTGATTTATTCATTATGATTTTTATTCAACATTAATTCCGTTTTAATTCAATGTAACGATTATTCAGTATAGTATTTGTTTCTATTTCCCCATATGACATATTATTCTGTATAATATACGATGTTCTTGTATTCTAATGCACATGAACTATTCTCAGCATATGATTTGTTATAACTCTGGGTATTTTTTTTTTATATATGTGATTTTATTCTAATTACTAATCAAAAATAGGTATATGAATCAATATATAAATGAGTGTATTTTCGCCTAGGGTAGTCGTGTTTTGGGGGTTAATAAATCTTCACTTATACCAGTCTTTGTGTTATTATTTTGGCGTCGTGGGAATCGCAGTGGTTCCTCGCTTTACAAGTATAAGTGACAAGCGATTCCGACATAACAATCAGCGACGACCAGATATAACAAGTGGCGTTCAATCGACAAGATATATCAGGAAGTAAAGTTTGTCAATAATTAGCGAGTTTTCTCATCGTGTTCGCAATGCTGATATCATGGGTTTGCGCATACAGTAGACAAAAGATTTTATATACAAGATGTAGGTGTTTAAAAAGGTATCATCAGGTGAGTCGGTTTGTACATTTATGTATTTACTGAACGATTGATTGATATCTTAGTTTAACCTGTAAAAAATATCAAACTGGTTATGTACATAACGCGATTTTGTATTGTATTGTGATCTAGTACTCTAGGATACATGATGAGTCTAAAAATACAAAATGTAATTGACCGAAATTCTCGACCTCCTAGTATCCAGACTGGGTGTAGCTGGAAACGTAGAATTTGCGTTGGACTACCACTTGTGATAGGTACTGTACCTGACACAAAGTCGCAAATATTGGCGCTGTGGTTGGGAAGTTTAACATGCACCTAGCTGGTTTGATGATTTCCGCAATATATGTCCTACCCACATCCAGTGTCTTTCCTTAATTTCCTCTTCAGTTGGAAGAAGGTCCCATTAGGTCCTCTTATCTACACTGTCAAATGCTTCCTCATAATCAAAGAACTTGATGTATAGTGACGAGTTTCACTCAGTTGATTGTTCAACGGTGATCCATAGTGTCGTGATTTGGTCTGTGCACGACTATCCTTACGGAATCCGGCCTGTTGATCTCGAAGTTGGGCATCTGCCGAATCTTTCATCCGGTCCAGCAACACTGAGAATTTTTTCTGGTACCGATAGTAGCGTGATGCCTTTATAGTTTTCACAGTTGCTCAGATCTGCTTACTTTGGTTATCTTGACGAGACATTCTTCTTTCTAGTCCATCGGCACTAGGGAAAAATTTAAAATTGGTTAACGAATTCGTGAATCTTCATATACTGAGGTGGTTGGTACATGTTTGATGAAGACTTTATCCCATTTACCTCGATGCGTGATTTCCGCTGGTATGAAACTTAACTGCCGATAAGCTAAGAAGTTTCGTCAGTTCATGGATTTATTGACCGTTGGACTGAGCCGAGTAGGTAGGTGTACGCTTGGCGTTCGGTAACTTTTCTAAGAATGTGTTACAATGGCGCGAATTCATTCATTATATCTTGCCAAAGAACTTCAAAAATGATCTACTATCAAAATTATCTAGTACTTCTTTATACCACGGATGCACATTTTTTCGAATCATATTGTCTACTTAGTTCCTTCGATAACAATTGATACTGTTATTACATCTACTACTCAGGTATCTTGCCTGTTGTTATAATCTCTTTCTTACGGTTATGACCCAGCTGTTCCTACTGCTTAGTATTCTCGGACATCGATTCAGAACACGGTTGAACAGGAAAGAGATTATATTCCAAATAACAAGGTTAGATGGAAGAAGCACAATAGGGAAAACGTTAGCATATTTATAGTTTTTACATGAGAAGATTCTAGAGTATTCTCCAAGTATCGACTAGTGCTGATTGGATAAGAATGAGCCAATCAGCGTGCATCAAAGCAACCGTGCATTGAGCATGCTTTAATCTAGTCTATGTCCCGCTAACACCTGTGCTGAAGCGGTGTGTCAGCTTAAGTCGGTTAATATGCGCTCTGAGTAATTGAACAGGTTTTCGAAACCTTGATAGCTTTCTATTTATGAGACATTATAATATTGCCTGACCACCATCAATTCACATTTCAGTGTCTAGGTTTAACAACTGATACACTGTATCAGTTGATGATACGGTGCTGCGATCCCTACTGAACAAAACATCATATCAAAAGATGTTTACTTATCGCTTCAGTGGTCACTAAATATATTAGTGCTAACTGAAACTACTCAAGTAACAGAAACCTGTGGTTATACGATGATTGCCATTATTAGAAATGAGTTTCTGTTTATTTCAATATACTCCGCTATCCCTAACATAAGTAATCAATGTATGGATCTTAATACGCTTATTATCTTCATAGCAAGAAGACCAAGACTAACATGCTCAGAGTTTGGTTGTGTGCATTAGAAGTTTCATGATTTGTTAGTGCTACGAGTAGCTGTAATCAAACAGATCACCTAGCTTATCCTCACTTAACTTTACAAGACTAACAGTACATTAAACTGATTATCTTTAGAAAGTGTTACTATAGTGAAAGTATTTGGCCACGAATGATCCTCAAAATGTGAAGAAATCGTAATAAATTTTGTAAAAGCTTGGAGGTTACGGGATTACATTATACAATACGCTTCAGACGAGATATACTGATTACCACTTTTTGTATCCAGCCAAACAAAACGTAATATATATATATATAGTAGAATATATAATTTTCACTAACAAAATGAAAAGAAATCGAATAAACGAGCTTACTGCCTTCTAATTTGTTCTCGGACCTTCCACCACTGATCATCAACCTTAAATTATTAACACCTGAGTCATCAGGTGATGAAATATCTTGGTTTAATTGTGAGTACGGTTCGCAGAAATGATGGTCAGGACTTGTGTCGTGAAGATGATCGTTCCCATCATATGCACTAGAACCGCACATGCTGCATATGTTGCCACCACCAGTGGATGCACCATCCGAAGCGCCAGCCGGATCACATCGCAGTTCACAACCATAGGAAGAAGGATTACTAAAAAACAAATAGTTCAATCAAGTGAAAGTTTTGTGGTAATGTCATATAATTTGGTGTTTCATACTTGGCAATGAAGATAATTAGTTGAGCAAGAAACCATTTCTTACTACAAAGAATTCATTGTCTATTAAAATTAAACCCAACGAATTATTATTATTTATTTGAACACATAAATATTGGTAGAAGAGAGCGCCAATATATATGCGCCACACAAAACAATCAGAATTCGAAGAGAAAAAAAGGTAGGGAGCGTAAAAAAAAGAACGATAACGGACAGATTAGCGTAAGGTAGTGTAATAATAATAATAATAATAATAATAATAATAATAATAATAATAATAATAATAATAATAATAATGGGGGAAACAGAAACGTACAATCAGAAGAGATCTTTCAGTTAAGGAAGAAGCAAACCCTTTTTATGAAGGAAGTAAGAGAAGGTTACCACAGGATCGCCACTGGCTTCTATTCTGAGCCATATCTGATAACGTCTCTACTCGAGAACGTTTAGATAGAGCCGAATTTCCACCATAGGCGAGCTGTTGTATACGTCGAAAATAAGGATAGACAAAGTGGGAATGAAAGGGAGAATAAATGACGTAGTAAATAATAATAATAATAATAATAATAATAATAATAATAATAATAATAATAATAATAATAATAATAATAATAATAATAATAATAATCATTTGATTGTTAGTTGAAGCAAGAAAAGTAGTTTCCATAATTATAGGCAGTTCATCATATTTGTGTGTGGGCTGTGATACTGCCCGGGTGCCCAGACCGAAGCAGATGGTTTTCTTGGGGGGCCACACCCCGAGCCTTTGACCTAAAGGTCTAATCCACAAGGCAGTGGAGCATCGTAAGGAGATGCAGTCCCATGGTAGCTGGTGACCAACGATTGGATCATACGCCAGTTGTTCCTGCGGGATACTGGAGCCCATGTGCACCATTGGTTTGGAATCCGGTTAAAGCGACGGACATTCGCTTTTCGTCCTCTCAATTTCGTAAACAACACCCTCGTCACGAGAAGGTAGTGAGTAGAAGTTCCCTGGCAGAGGCTGTATACGCGTGGCCGTGTGAGAGCATTTCGGGCCCTGCCCGCTTTTGGCCATACTAGGGCATTTGGGGCAAAAAAACCCAACGAACGGAAAAAACAGTGAACCAATAAGGTGAGCTTCACATTGGATGCCTTCAATCAATTCTGAAATAATTTATGCCAAGTCGTTAATGGTATATCAGAGTTGTCATATCTTTTGATGTCGTTAGCTACGGAGAATCAATTTTCGAATGGATTTCTAAGTACAACAGAAAGTTGTTTCTGTTGGAGACAAACTCAAGGTACAGATTTTAAAATGAACACTTATGGATTCTGGTTCTGGCAAATTCAGCTGACAGGTTTCAAAATTAAATAACAAATGAGTCCATTACTTCAATGCTAGTTACCGGCCTTTACTATGAGGGAAATCACATTAGGCAAAACATGTCACGATTTGGTCATTAGCAACAGTTACTTAGCATACCAACGCATCAAGCGTTTGATGAGTTATATATTCCTTTATCTTTATTATTGATCGTTGTCCGTTTTTGGTGTAGGAATATAGTTACGTCCTAGTCAGGCTAATCACGTGTTCTTGATCTGAGTTGTGTTGAAGTCCTGGAGAATAGACACCGGGAGAGAATCTAGTGTAAAATATTTGTCAAAGGCAAACTAACGGCCGATTCGTGTAGACAAAGAAAACCGAGCGTTATAACGAAGCTAATAAGATAACAGAATAAGAAGATTCTAATAACGGCAATCAGTACCAACATATAAATCACGAAACCCTAATTGTAAAGAATTCCTACTGAGAATAACGTGTGCAACCGATTAAGATAAAACTCGTGAGAATAAATATAAATTCAGGAATCAACATTTTACAAAATAAAATAATTATTATAGAAACACTGGTGATTACTTGTAAATATTACTTCCAATCGCGTGGGTTGCCGAATCGCATAATTTATCAGCTTGCTGACCACGAGCGGCTTTTAAATATCCCCACGTATCACACAACTGGCGTGAAAATTGTGTTTGAAGGAATGCAAAGTGAGCTCTTTCCTCCTGTAACTGATTTGTTAAAAAACTGCGTTGAGAATAAGGAGGATTTGATTCGAATAGATAGACATTCTCATCTTCATTACGTTCACTTGTTCGAGATAATTCACGAGGTGCTATATTCCACAAAAGATCATTATTCCCAGATGAAACGTCAAGACTAGCAGCACGGCGAAGATATTCATTTGTTGTAGGAGAGTGAAATTGATAATATAATAGTGGATTCGGATAAACTTCCTTAGGATATTTGCGACCTAAAAAATAGTTGTAGTGAACTTCATTACTAAAGTAATGGACTCAAATTATCACGTAGCTTTGACACATGAGGTAAGCGGAAATCATTAGTTTAACTGTGATAGTAAACCAAAACTCTGATTCTTGTCACAACACAAAACAGATTAGAATGATACAAGCAAAAGCAATTAAGAGGAAAAAACAGTATAGATAACAAATTTAAAAAAACACACCAGATTTTAAACGAACAGACAGACACAACTAATCACATACCAAACACAAACGTTTGAACTTCCATGAGCTATTAATACCTGGAGATAGAATGAAAGTCCGCAGTTGAGATAAGATCAATTTATACATAAATTACATAAAGTTTAGTGAGCAAATAGAATCGTGTGAAACTGAAATGTGACTCACTTGTTGTACAAAAGCGCATAATTAAATTTTTCTAACATTTATGCTAAAGTTTTTCAAATTAAAAGTTACAAGAACCTACATAAAGATATGTACTAAACACATTAATACTTTGGTAGTTAATGATAATTTTTGATGACTGAATATGTTTAAACGGATCCAAATGGTTTGAGTTTAAAGCGAAACAATAAAGACATGACAAAATGCTATTGCAAAGATCAAAAAGTTACCTGTCTGAAAGTCATGGTATTTCGAATGAACGTTTGTAGAACAAGGTGGATATTGAAAAGAACAGCCACGATCAGTAGGACGGGATAAAAAGTGCTTGTTCGTCAAATTAAACTCCTCTGTAGACGCTAATCCACAGTCGTTTTCTGAGTAAGGTATTTGCATGTAACTTGTCGAACGTTCTATTAAGGGAATATGAACTGAGTCGGATGATATTGGGCTTTTCGGCTGCGATTGCTGTCGCTGTAAGCCACGACTAGGCTGTGGACGATTGGAAATTCGGCGATGCAAACGCTGAGTAACAATAGGAGAAAGTATTGCAGCCAGAGATGGACTCGAATACATATATTGGCTGCGATCTACAGGATCGTGTGGGACGAACTGAACATGACAGTTTGGTGTACAGTACTGTGGGTGTCTCAGAACATTCGTTGGTACAGTGTAAGAAACCTCACGAATAATTGTTTGAGGTGGAGAGTGTATGTGACAGACTGTCGGAGGTTGATGTTCAGTTGACATTACTGCACAAGAACACGGATTATGATTACAATGAGAGACATCTGTTGGTCTGGTACGAGATTTTGAATTTAAAACTTCATCATTGTGAAGAGCAGGCAAGCTACCTGGGACAATAACAAACGGAGAGAAGGAGGTTTCCGGTTCTTTGGAAATGGAATCCCCGACAGATACTACTGGTATTTCACCAGTTAGATAATGATTTCCAGACAATAAAGATTTAATGGCAATGCCACAGAAAGTACCATCAGAATACACTGGACCAAGATTGGTAACCAAATAAGATGGATACAAAATCACCTAGGTTAGTTAGAAAAAAAACAACATCAAATACAGTTTGAACAGCTATGTAAAATAATGAGATACCATAGCGTAAAAGTAACTACTTGTTAGCATACGTAGATTGGATTAAAGCATGTTCCGTGCATGATTATGTTGAAGCACATTGAGAGATCATTTATTAACCGACAAATATAAATAGAAGACTCAAGAAAATTCCTGTGTAAAATAATATACACATACTAACGTTTTTCTTGTTTTCATTTCTTACTACCATTCTATCTCAGTCAGTTAGTAACAACGTAAAACTTCGTACGTACGTACATCAGTTTGAGTTGCCACACCACATTAGCACAGAGATGCCGTCGTCGATTCAAACCCCATAGTGGTAGAAGTAATAAGAGTATAAGCAGTAATCGGAAAGATTAGGGTTTGAAGATGTTATTCAAGGAGTATAATTCAGTGAAATAAATCTGGAAAGAGAAAAAAGAAAGGGACATGAAGATTCAGAAGATTAGAATTTGAGAACACAAAGAGTGGATGCACCTGCACCATTGCAAACGATTTTGAGCCATGTCATTCAACGTCTCTAACCATCGGTTGCTATCATCTCGCGGTCCCCAACCAGGTAGTCTACACCTACCAATATGACTCAGTCTACTTGTCAGTGACTTCATGGACTTGTGCCATGTTTTGGTCTGGCCGCCCCTAGCTTTCTTCTAATCTACTCCTATACAACAAAACATCGCACATCGAGGCAGTCGGTGGTTGGGCATACGTAACACGTGTCCCAGCCATCTCAACTGATGAAGTTTCACTACTTCATCAATTGATTTGCCACCTTACCTAGTACCCGTTTCCTAACAACTGCATTACTTACTCCATGGTCCCAGGATATACGAGCAATATTTCGAAGACACCTATGATCAAATACTAGTAACCTACGGATATCCTCTACTCTTACAGGCCATGTTTCACTGCCATAAAGTAGGACGGAACGAACTGCTGCGCAGTAAACCCGTCCTTTGGTTGATAGACGGATATCTCGCCTACGCCATAAATGACGCAAGTTGGCAAAGCTGGTCGAGCCTTCTGTATCCGTGCTGAGATTTCGTCACACACCAGACCACAAGGACTGATGAGACTTCCAAGATAAGTGAAGCAGTCGATACGCTCAACTACTTCACTCCCTATCATTAGTTCGGGTGTCAATGCAACCCAATCCTGAAGCAACATTTTACATTTCGAGGGGAGAATCGCATCCCGAACATGCATTGTTGCTTAGAGTGGTCAGAAGACTGCATTTTGTCAGCGTCTTCACCAAATAGAACTATGTCATCAGCATATTTTAAGTCAACAAGTGAACCTTCCGGTAGAAGTTCAACCCCTGGAAATCTAGACGAGGGAGGTGTCATCTCTAAAAGCACGTCAACGACAAAGTTAAACAAGAATGGAGAGAGTGGGCAGCCCTGACGAACACCACTTGAGGTAATCAATTCTGATGACAGTTCGCCATAAGCTTTCACTCGACCAGTTGTGTTCGAATAAAGAGCCTTTATAAGGTTAATATACTTCTTTGGTACTCCTTTCAGCGACAAACACTGCCACAGAACCTTACGATCAACCGAGTCAAATTCTGCCTTAAGGTCGAGAAATACTACGATTGTGGGGCGTCTGAATGTGTGTCTGTGTTCTAGGACCTGACGTATTGTGAATATCTGGTCTATACAACCACATCCAGGTCGAAAACCAGCCTGATTTTCTCTAGTCTGTTCTTCACGAGCTTCGGTTAGGTGTCGAAGTATTATTGAAGCTAATATTTTAGACACTATATTAGTTAAGCTGATTTCTCTGTGATTGTCATAAGAGGACTTTTGCCCTTCCTTATGGACTGTCACAATCAGTGATGGAGACCAGTCAGATGGGATTACGTCCAGTTCCCAAATTCTACCTAAGACCTCAGTCAATCTCGCTGCTAATACTGGACCGCCATCCTTAAGAATCTCAGGGGTACCATTCTATCTTGTCATTTGCGAAAGAGTTACGTTCCTATTCAGTGTCGTTATGGTTTGGGAACTTGTTGAGTGAATAAAGGTGTCCGGAAAAAATACTAAGCTGGGTTGTAATAGAAGAAATTATAACACTACTTCATTGATTAGATCGTCCGCAAGCTGTTGATAACACGTTTATTGCCTAAGAGTTAGGTTGGTTATCATAGCATATGACCTATATGAAGTGAGTAAAACAAGAGGCCTATACGACAAAGGACATGGTCCATTTTTACAACCTGGTTTCCCATTCTGTCTTTACACCCCAAGCTAGAGACTTTTGTAAAAGTAGTATGAATTGTTGTTTGTCAGAAAACGGCAGTGGGGCGTAGCTGATGTTTTGCCTAAACAAACGGGGCCAGGGTAAATGTATAGAGTTTTGATACAGGAAGTAGCTACCTTAAGCCAAAAAGCCATAGTCTGAGCTGCGGGATGGATTTTCAATACGAAGGTACTGAGTAGTTCGCACTTTTTGTCCGACACTGGTCGATATTGACTTTGTATTAACTAAAGACACTAAACATTAACGGTAGATCGTGATGGATGTAGACCTTCTCTGGAGTAATGAAGCTTGAAATGATGTGCCAGAACAGTGATGATCAAGTTACACCTAAATTACGTAAATGACTCTGGCGAGACCTCACCATGCACATTTGGTTGCAGTCAATTTTGTCGACTGGTCCATGTCTACAGTTTTAAAATCTCACTTGTCACGTCCGCACACATTCACTAATATAAAGCTGGAACCTGACACGGTCCGTTGAGAAATATTTTGACACAAGATCTAACGTGCTTCAAATACCATCTGCGTCAGACTAGTTCTAAATTCCCTACTTAGTGTAATGTGATGTTGGTCAAATTCAGAGGATATGAACAATATGAACATTTTAAAAAATATCTTAAAAGTCGTTCGTGATTTATATTCTCTCATAGACAATGTACATATACTTTTGCTTAGAAAATTTATATTTTGGTACTGCCCAAAATATCAACTGATTTATGTAAAATGAATTTCAAGTGCATAAGTATTGTGTAGACTAACCTTTTTGTTCGACTGAGTCTTATAAACAGAATGTTCGCTATGTAGATCTACTGGACAGCTAGTTGACTCAAACGGCCACATGGATGACTGCAGGTAATAATCTGCACCCCGATCGAGTACCACTTCTGTGCGTTTAACGTGAGGTGTTACAGGAACAGATACTGAACCCGGAGCAAATCGATGGTCAGTATACTTAGAATAGACAGGGAAGGAATTTGCTGGAATGTTTGGATATAGAGGGTCAGTATAAACCAAATTATTTTGGTCTGTCTGAATGCCGTCATTCCAAGATTTTCCATGATGTACTGGGTATCCACCATCCGAATTGGTTACTGGTGGATAGAAACTATAGTCATCAAAGTAGTTGCCACATCGGTCACCATTCATATCACTAGTAGTTTTATCATTATCTACAGTGGGATTAGAAATAGATTTCTGGTCATCATCATCGTCATTCAACGTTCGGGATATATGCATACCATCCATTTCAACGTTTTTTTGATTTTCTTTCCTCGTGGGACTGAAAGCAACTTTACAGTTGTATTGAGTGGATATACATTGAGAAGTATGAGTGGAGGTCGAATTGGCTACATAGGTATCGATCAAACGATTATGGTTATCAGAGGTGTAAGGGTTTTGGCGCTTTTGCTGATGTATTAGTGCCTCTTCAAGTTGAGCACACCGAGCCTCTAAAACTGATTTAGCTTCTAAAGCCTCAGCTTTTTCTGCACGTGCTTTTGCCAGTCGTGCTCTTTCAACCTAATTTCAAAGGAAACTCGATAGATAATAAATTGGAAATAAATAATAAATGATTTGAAAAAATTCGAAGTTTCAGTTGCATAAATGTAAACAATCGATGCGCATACATGTGGATAAATAAATTTAACAGGGCATCAAGCAAACATGATTTGTTTCAAACTTACACTGCGAAAAAATAAAAAAGGAAAGGATAATACAGAGACATAAGGAGAACAATTAATTCAGTAACGAAAAAAATACTGAGAATGTAGAAAATGACATATCAATTGAAATAATCTGAAAAGATACTAAAATGGTAGGTTACCTCTCGTCTGGCTCTCTCTTCTCTTGCTTGTGCTCTCATTTGCTGGACCTCAATGCTATCCGGCTGACGACGTCTCATGAACAGTGAGTGGTTACCAGCACACATAGACATAACTGTTTTAGCTTGATTTGGGTCTGCCAACCAAACTTCAACAACACTGATTAATACAGTCTCAGAATTCAGATTAGACGATTTAAGCAAACTTTTCGACGGCAGCGAGACATTGTTCTCCGCAGACTGAACCCTAGGGCCACGAAGACAATTCACACTAGTTCTAGTAATTGCGAATTCATTAGCAGAGTAACGAGAGGATTTGATTGATAAACCAGGAATGCAGCGTGAACCTAGTTCAAGAACTAAACAAGGAACTACATATTATATTAAAATTCAAAGAATCGAGCAGCAGATTTTTCCAGTGAATATTCGTTTAGATTGTACATACAATTAAATAATAACTACATCAGAAGTGCACAAATAATTTATAATTCTTAAATCCAGAGAACGACAATGAACAATAATAATCCATTTACTCAATACCACAAATTGTGGTGCAGCAAAAAATCTACAGCATCAGCTGTGCAATATTCTAAGATCCATTCCATTTGTAACTATTCAAAACATCTTTTTTTATAAATGTTTCCTAACATTTAGTATTGATCATCAAAGTTTAGCTGCCACGACTACTTTTCAACCCATCATATATATATAGTGCTTGAATTCAAATATATTTGCCTCTCGTTTTGTAAAAGCATAGATAAAAAAGAAAATACGCCAAGAACTTTAGGACTTATGTTAGAGTTTTCCAGTAATATGTACTGAAAATATTTTGTAAGCCATTAATAAAGCGCGAATACATAAACCTAGCATTCATAATCATCAAATCTAAAACGTCTGGAAAATAGAAATATGTATCAGTTTGTTTCAATGTACTTTTTTTTGCTGACTTCAACCAATTTTTACTAATTTCCAAAACCTTTTGTGTACAAAATTTACGTAAATGATACGTATAACTGAACACAAAATTATGCGAAAAAAGTTATACTATTAAAGTATGTTATAACATTTGCTTCTTCATTCTTCCTTCATATATCAGTACGAATCGTTAGTACACAATTTATCCCAAAAGTCCGATGGAACAAGAGAAGAATTTCAGGATTGGAAGTCTTACTAGTAGTTATTGTTCATTATTTTAAAATCAAATTATACTGTAGTTAAAGAATGTGAAAAGTATGCAAGGGTTTTAGACATAAACGAAAAAGACAGCAAATTGTAAACTGTAAAACGTCAGGTAATCACAGAGTAGAAGCTGAAACGCAGGTACACCGATATAAAATTGTCAGTCAAAACTAAGAGTAGAGGAGTTAATAAAGGTATGAGTGATGATTGAGAAGCTTAGATATCGAAGATACGATAAACGAAATTATAAATTGGAGTAATTTTAAACCACGAGGAAATCAGAAGCTTGAAATCTTAGAGACACAATGAATGGGAACACCTGTGCCATTACAAAAGATTTTCTCACGGAGATGGTAATCTGTGTGGTAAGGTGAGGTGTGAAATTCTCAGGGCCGACCTCTTATAACCACTTCCATCCGTTGTGAGAGGGCACCATCTCTGCAGATGATAGTTGTCCGAGGGAAACACCTTGCTGCTATCGCAACCCCCTGCAGTCACCAGTACGACTTCACCCTTCAGACCGTAAGTTGCAGCTTTAAGTCTTACCGTTCTCCAACCGACCTGCCTGGCATGTTAGGACCTAAAGGAACATATGTCTCAGCCAATAAAGTCGGTTGAGTCATCATGATAGGCAAGCCCGAACACCACGTCAAGGTAGCAGCCACCGTTGGGACTACTATTTACACGAAAAGATGACACATTAGTTACTTTCAGTTCAGCTTACCTTTAGCACGACCTTTGAAGCCTTTTGAAGCACCGAGTTGTTGTGCAGTATCGCATGATTCAAACTTGGAAACAGCTCTTGGAGATGAAAGGTTAACAGACGTATCAAGTAAATTTGGAGAAACGGGTGGAACTGAAGGGATAAGACGAGCTGATATTGGAGTGCTAGGTAAGCTTGCGGCAGACGTCCCACTACCTCCTGCACTAGAACCTACAGCAACGCCAACAAAAGCTTGGCCTGTGATACTAATAAGAGGACTACGATTGGGCTGACTTGCTTTTGATGAAATAACAGCTGGTCCTCTGGTTTCATTCAATAAGGTAGGGACAGATGTATTTTGACTAGGTTTGTTGGTTCCACGACAGGTACTGGTCAACTTGATCGTAAACTAAACGATGATTAAAAAGAAACCAACTTAAAAAGAAATTTGGGAACACAAACAAGAAAGAGACAATTTCGCCGAGTAAAAATGGAAATTTTATAGTCTTTCATCTGCTGATCTCAAGGATATTACTATTCTCCATTTAGTAGGTTGTTCGCTTTCTGTAGTAAAAATTAGTGACGAAATATCTTCACATCCGCAGAGCTTTATTGATTAGGGAACGGACGAAGACAAACAATTCACTTTGTTTTATACCTGATTATACATGAAACAGAACATAATTCAGTGTGAGCAGAATACAGAAGTCAAAAAACAAATGATCAGAAACATGTAATTAGTTTTGTACTTGTATTATAACCAGTTGTATAAGTGTGAGCTTCTTTAGTAAGACTCGTTATCGCGGTTATTTTTATTGACTCTGATCCTATTTTACATATTTTAATTTACAAGATGTTTGGTACAATCTATACATAAATTATTTGTACAACTACATGTAAAAGTTTGCGGAAAAATAGGTTTTACTACCAGCTAGTTTTCAAGATGAATAGTCGACCGTTGGGAAATCATAATGCAAAAGCTATGAAATAAATCGAAGCAACAGATTATCAGAAAATGTTTCGGATTTGTTGACCGATTTTCGTTCAACTGAATTTTATATTTTAGGTGTGTGTGGGGGCTAGTGAGATTACATAGTCTCCCAAACAGATGAGGTGGGGGTTGCATCGGAAACCTATTGCTTGAAAGAATAATTTTTAAACCACAGTAATCACTTCATTACACAGATAGCAATCCGTTTGCAAAATAAAAGATAAATGTGTCCGGTCTTGAAATGCTTAATATTTGGTAGTTGAAATCGATACAAACAGTAACATTTCTGATTGAATCGTACGAAATATACTATAATGAGGGTTACATTGGAATAAGTTATATTTTTGATCCGTGGAAATTTTCGCCAAAAGCGGATGGAAATATGAAAAGCAGCCATTAACTTTGAAATTGTAAGCTAGATATTTGATTCATGAGGTACTCGGTAATGAAAATGTACGAAAATAGGTTCATGACAGTCATCAATCATTTAATGAGTCCAAGCTATAAATAACAACACTATTTAGATCCAAAAAATATTTTACTGAGTTTCCTAGATAACATGAGAGATGATATGGTAAAATTATTGGGATAATAAATGTTTGACAACAATATTAAAATATACTGTTATAGCATACTGTGAGGGTAAAAATGGTTGTTGTTTATTCAGAAATTAAGATGTGAATGACCTACAAGGAATGAAATTCTATAGAGCATAAGATGGTGGAAATGTTGTGAATTTGGTTGAGCGATACAATTAAATGAAAAAACAGCTCACTTTGCGTTCGCGATATGAAACATTTTTTATCATATTCCAAGGAAATGTAAATTGAGGTGGATCACGTTGACACTTTCCATACAGTTGAAGACCTGCTGCTGTAACACCAAGCCAAGCATTTGTGTGACATTGATTCTGGTAGAAAGAATGGGAGCAAAAAAAATATCATCGTATATGCATAACCACCATCAGTACATGGATTATAAATATTAACTTGGTAATTTATCCCAAAAATAGCAATCAGCTATCCACAGTATTTTGGATGAGCCGCAACTCATCTGCCAAAGAGAACCCAAAAGGATTGTAATAAGATACTTATTGGTATGACTTTTCAATTTGACTGATGGTATACTTAGCCCTGACTACTTCGTTAAATATAATCGACAGACGAAATACTCAAACGCCTTTTCGAAACAAGCTGAACATCATCTGTGAAAACATATGACGTACATAATGGGGTCCTAAAATATTTGAATGGAGTAAAAAATTCAGCAGGTACTTGAGCATGAGCTACACTCTAAGTGTGAGGGTTAGTGATACTACCCGATTGCCCAAACTGTAGTAGTTAAGGTGAGGTCCATACATGGGACTTAATAGTTAGAAGTCGTACACCTTAACCACTCAGTTACCAAAACCCATCCCCCAAAAATATCTAGATATATGAACAGACACAAACCCTTTAGGCGATCGTTGATATAAATGTAGGTGATTAGTTCACAGTAGAACTCCAAATGGTGCATCTCTAGTTTTATGGCAATGCATGTAAAGGATTTCAGAAGTCAATTATTGCTGATAAATTGTGCGGGGATGTGAAAATTTAGCTGTGGGGCTGGCTCAACGTGACAGATTGATGTTAGTTGTATTTCCAAGTTTCCAGTTCCATCCTGACCACGATATTAATGAAGCTACATCTACTACAACCACATATGGTGATATTTAGGTGAGACTGAAGCTTTGGGTATTGTTCATATAATTTAACAATGAACCTAAACTGAATGTATATCTGTATAAAACCAGCCAAAGATGGCAAATAAAATACGTGAAAAATTAAATTGATTTTATTTGTCACAGGCGGAAACAGGGAAGTGGGCTAAATGGTTTGAGACTATAATGAATAGTATCCTGATGCTGGATGGTTGAAATTAAACAACAGAAAGGTCTGCAAATGAGTCTCACTAACTACTGTCAACTACTATGAAACATAAAACTAAAAAATTCCAGAGAACGATGTAACACAATTAAAAAATGAGTGAAAACAGATCACTAAGATGCATTTTCAGCCATCCAAATAAAGTTATTATACGATCCATCAGAATGCATCTTTTGTGTTTATTTTATGACACCTTAAATAATGCACTAACATGCCTTCAAATTCCCTGGTACGGCCGAGAGTGGGGAGAGTCCGCTCTCCTTCTCGAAATGCACTCACACGGCCACGCGTATACAGCCTCTGCCAGGGAACTTCTACTCACTACCTTCTCGTGACGAGGGTGTTGTTTACGAAATTGAGAGGACGAAAAGCGAATGTCCGTCGCTTTACCGGATTCCAAACCAATGGTGCACATGGGCTCCAGTATCCCGCAGGAACAACTGGCGTATGATCCAATCGTTGGTCACCAGTTACCATGGGACTGCATCTCCTTACGATGCTCCACTGCCTTGTGGATTAGACCTTTAGGTCGAAGGCTCGGGGTGTGGCCCCCCAAGAAACTACTTTTCTTGCTTCAACTAACAATCAAATGATTACTATTATTATTATTATTATTATTATTATTATTATTATTATTATTATTATTATTATTATTATTATTATTATTCACCACATTATTCACCCTCTTTTATACTTATACAGCGGCTCGTCTTTGGTTGAAATTCGACTGTATCTAAACGTTCTCGAGTCACTGTCCGGTTGAAAATTGTATGTTACCACCGAATATGAGTACGGAAGCAGTTTTTCTGAAACCACGTGCACTATTCAAACTGGCTGCCTTAAATCTTTCGCACACTTATGCAGGTCGGACAACAGATAGGGCTGACTATGTCTTTAGAAAGTCTTAATATCGATGTTTGCTGTCTATCCGAGACCCGTATTCAAGACTCTGGTGAAGTACTACAAATTCGATCTCCATCTGTCGCTTCGAAAAGCTTGTTTTACGTGCGCTTATCCGGGGACCCTGTGGCATCTTCGTCTGGTCTTGCTGGCGTTGGTGTCGCACTAAGCGCTAGAGCTGAGGCAGCACTAGTCGATTGGATCCCCATTAACAGTCGGTTATGTGCTGTTAGATTAGAAAGTTCCATCAAAGTGAGAAGAAATCGGCGTGAGAAACGATGTCTTTTCGTCATCTCCGCCTATGCCCCGACAGATTGCAGCCCGGATGCAATCAAGGATGAGTTTTACCACCAGTTATCTGTTCTTCTCCAGAAAGTGCGTTCGACAGATATTGTAGTACTAGCCGGAGACTTGAATGCTCAGGTCGGGCGTCTAGGCACAGAAGAGAGTCGTTTAGGTGGCCGATGGGGACTCGTTGGTCGCAGGTCAGATAACGGGGACCGTCTACTGCAACTGTGCACAGACCACAACCTGTTTCTGGCTAGCACTAACTTTCGGCACAGTCATCGCCGATGTGCCACCTGGCGTCCTCCCTCTGCATCTCAAGCCTGGACTCAGATTGATCACATCGCGATCAGCTACCGCTGGCGTGGTTGTGTAAAAGACTGCCGCTCCTTTTGGAGTACCTATCTGGACTCTGACCATGCCTTGGTCTGCGCCAATCTTGCCTTACTTTTCAGTGGAAAACGAAGTGACCGCCATCAACGGATTGATGTTAGCAAGCTGGTTGCAACTTCTGTTGCAAGTAAGTATCGAACCGAGCTAGCCTCTAGGCTAGCTACCACTCCACCGAAAAGTATAGATGAGCATTGGTTGCAATTGCATGACGCCATGAAAATGGCGGGAACAGTCAGTTGTGGGTTTGCGAAACGTCCCGCTTTAAGCACTGGGTTTCTTCTGGTTCCTTACAACTCATTGAAGCCCGTCGGTCTACTCCGGGTGACCGTGAGTTTGACCATAAACGAAGGATGTTACGTAAGGAAATTGGGCAAAGCTTGCGTAAGGACCGAGAAGCCTGGTGGTCGAAGCGTGCTAATGAGCTGGAAGCAGCAGCTGCATCTGGTAACTACCGGAAGCTCTTCCAGCTCATCCGAGCCACTGGCAGCAAGAAGTCTGGTGTGAGTGAAACAATCTGCGAGGATGATGGGATGCCAATCACTAACATCCATCGACGTCTTGGACGATGGGCAGAATTTTTCGAAGGGCAGTTCAACTGGCCTGCTGCTCCGGCAACATCGGTCAGACTGTCCTGCCCTCCATGGCCGGTGACGACTGATCCACCAAATGAGGAGGAAGTCCGCAAGGAACTCCAACTCTTGAAGCGTTACAAATCACCTGGCCCAGATGACTTACCTCCGGCTCTTTTTAAAGATGGTGGTGACTTTTTGACTAAGGAATTGACGACGTTGTTTACAAAGGTTTGGGAACTAGAGAGTGTACCAACGTCATGGAATGAGTCGATAGTTGTCCCTATCTTTAAAAAGGGTTCACGTCGTTCCTATAACAACTATCGGGGGATAAGTCTACTTCCGATTGCGTCCAAGCTATTGGCTTCCGTCATACTTCGTAGGTTGTTCAAAACCCGAGAGAGATTGACTCGCGAGGAGCAGGCTGGGTTTCGTTCTGGTCGAGGATGTATTGATCATATCTTCACCCTCCGCCAAATGTTAGAACACCGCCATACTTATCAAAGGCCAACAATCGTAGTGTTTCTTGACATCAGGGCTGCCTTCGATTCGTTGGACAGGACTGTTCTCTGGGATTGTCTATTGAAGAAGGGTGTGCCTGAGAAGTTTATTAACATCCTAAAAGCCCTATATACAAACACCTCAGGCAGAGTGAGGGCATACAACCACCTCTCTCCATTGTTCCATTCGAGCAGTGGGGTTAGGCAGGGTTGCCCAATCTCACCATTCCTCTTCAACTTTGCCATCGATGACATTCTGGAAACAGCTCTGATGAATGTAAGTAATGGTGGTGTGGATCTGTTGCCTGGAGAAAGACTTCTCGACCTTGAGTATGCGGACGATATTGTCTTACTGTGCGATAATGCCCAAGGCATGCAATCCGCACTTAATCAGTGTCCGTAGGTATGGTATGTGCTTTGCACCTTCGAAGTGCAAAGTACTTCTACAAGACTGGCAGGATTCCAATCCTGTACTCACCCTGGACGGTGAGCAGATAGAAGTAGTTGAGAAGTTCGTGTATCTGGGTAGCTGCATAAGTGCTGGTGGGGGTGTGAGTGATGAGATCAATGCACGAATAGTGAAAGCCAGAGCGGCTTATGCCAATCTGGGCCACCTTTGGCGCCTTCGTGATGTTAGTCTGGCTGTAAAAGGTCGGATCTACAACGCGTCAGTGAGAGCAGTTTTCAGTCAGTCAGTCAGCTACAACGTAGGACCAGGCACATATGTGCATCGGTCTAGGTTTCCATACCGCATCAGCTCAACAAGATGAATACCGGATTCATAGCAGTGGTTATGTCAAAGGTGGTAATATATAAAAGAAAGATTGCATATAGAGATATAATACAAGAAGAAAGAATTGGTTCGTAGAAAGAAAGATATGAAGCGATTTTAATCTCTTAGTTTAAGGGAAGACAGAGAGTGTATACACCGACGCCATTGTGATCGATTCTGAGCCATGTCACCAAGAGTCTCCAACCATTGGTTACGATAGTCACGCGGACCCCAACCAAGTAGTCTGCATCTACCAACATGGCTCAGACTAGAAGTTAGTGACTTCAAGCACTGATGCCACGTTTTCATTTGGCCGCCCCTAACTTTCTTCCAACCATCCCCAACACCGGTTAGCATTGCACGTCGTGGTAATCGGTGTTCAGGCATACGTAACACGTGGCCCAACCATCTCAGTCGATGAAGATTCATAACCTCATCAACTGATTTACCATCATTCCCTAATACCCTGCGTCTAACCTCACTATTACTTACCCGGTGATCCCAGCAGATGCCAGCAATATTTCTAAGGCATCTGTGGTCAAATACTAGTAGCTTACGAGTGTCTTCTACTCTTAATGGCCATGTTTCGCTGCCGTAAATTAAAACAGAACGGACTGCCGCGCAGTATACTCGTCCTTTTATTGATAGACGGATATCTCGCCTTCTCCAAAGGTGACGTAAGTTGGCAAAAGCCAAACGAGCTTTTCGAATCCGTGCTGAGATTTCGTCAGACACCAACCCATTAGGGCTGATCAGACTTCCAAGATAAGTGAAGTTGTCAACACGTTCGACTACTTCACTCCCTATCCTTAGTTCAGGTGTTGACGCAGACCAGTCCTGAAGCAACAACTTGCATTTAGAGGGAGAGAAGCGCATCCCAAACATTCTGGCATTGTTGCTTAGTGCTACCAGAAGACTCTGCATTTTGTCAGCGTCTTCACCAAACAGGACTATGTCATCTGCGTATTCTAAGTCGATAAGTGGACCTCCTGGAAGGAGATCAATACCCGAGAATTCAGTCGACGAGAGTGTTATTTCCATCAATAGGTCTATGATGAAGTTAAACAAAAATGGGGAAAGTGGACAGCCTTGACGGACACCACTTGAGGTTGCAAAGGTAGATGACAGTTCGCCATAAGCCCTGACTCGACTAGTAGTGTTCGAGTAAAGAGCCTTCACAAGGTTTATGTACTTCTGAGGTACGCCTTTCAATGACAGACACTGCCACAGAATCTCGCGGTCTACAGAGTCAAATGCTGCTTTTAAGTCAAGAAAGACCACCATCGTCGGACGCCGATAAGTATGCCTGTGTTCTAGAACCTGACGAATGGTGAATATGTGGTCGATGCAGCCACGACCAGGTCTAAAGCCAGCTTGGTTCTCTCGTGTTTGTAGTTCACGAGTCTTAGTTAGGCGTCTGATAATTATCGAGGCTAGTATTTTAGATATTATGTTAGTTAAACTAATCCCTCTGTGGTTGTCACAGGATGATTTTGACCCTTTCTTATATATTGGGACGATAAGTGATTGCGACCAGTCAGATGGGATAACGTCTAACTCCCAGATCTTAGCTAAAATATTAGTCAACCTAATCGCTAAAATTGGACCACCATCCTTAAAGACTTCTGGAGCCAGTCCATCTGGACCAGCTGCCCTTCCTCGTTTCAGATTAACTATAGCCTTCTCAACTTCAGCAAGAGTTGGGGGACCTACTTCAATGTTCCATTCACTTTGTCTGGGAATGGAGGGTAGTTGTAGAGTAGCTGAAGGCCAGCTGAACTGTTCTCTAAAATGTTCCGCCCATCGTTCTAAACGTCTGGACTGGGAGCAGATGAGAGTATCATCTTTTTCCGAAATAATCTCACTTACACTTGACTTATTAATTCCAGTTTCTTTTATTAGTCTGTAAAGCTGTCTTGTGTTCCCTATAGTCGCCGCCTTTTCCATCTCTTTTGCTTTCGTTACCCACCACTGCTCACGGTCGTTCCTTAGACTTTTTCTTAACCTAGATCTGATTTGTTTACGCTCTTCATCATGTTCAGAACCTGATGGGACGAGTTTGCGAGAATCCATCAGTGTGACAGACCTTGAAGAAATCCACTGGTTCCTTGTAACTCTGTGGTTTAAGTCACTAATAGATGTCACTGCTGTTTCCACAGCTGCTTGTATGTCCTTCCAAGCAACATCTGGGTCAGCCTCGTCTTCACAACTACCTAAGTGTGACCTCAGTTGTTCCTGGAACCTACTTTTGGTTTTCTCGTTACTCAACTCAGTTCTAATGGGTCTTTTTAATGTGGCTTTTTTGCGTCCAGTGAGGCGCAAGCAGATGCGTGCCCGTATTAGGGCATGGTCGGAGTCCAAGCAGGTACTCCAGAATGAGCGACAATCTTCTACCGACCCTCTCCAACGATGACTGATGGCAATATGGTCTATTTGAGTCCATCGTTGGTTTGGTGTAGGGGGTCGCCATGTTAGACGATGTCTCTCCTTATGCTTAAAATTTGTGTTTGCTAAAAATAAACGATTGTCTGAGCACAGCTGCAGCAGACGATCACCATTATCTGTTCGCTGTGCCGGAATACTAAAATATCCACCTAAATGCCTTTCTGTTTGGTTTAAACTACCTATCTGAGCATTAAAGTCACCCCCTACGAGTACTATGTCTGAGCGTTTAGCTTTCTGAAGAAGTTCGGACAGCTTTCTGTAAAATTCATCTTTCACTTCATCTGAGCTGCAGTCAGTGGGAGCGTAGGCAGAAACGACAAAAAGGCAACGACGTGTGTCCCTATCCTTCCGAGTTCTTACGGAGCCGTTTAGCCGAACAGCACATAGACGACTGTTGACGGGGATCCACTCTAGCAGTGCTTGTTCCGCCCTCATGCTTAGTGCTATGCCTACACCTGCCAGTCCACGAGAACTGCCATCGGGTCACCAGATACACGAAGGGTGTATCTCGTTGGCTCTCCGTTTGCCGAGGTGAGGTCAAGTGAATGACCACACTGGAATCCTGTATGCGTGTTTCGGAGACACAGCATACATCAATGGAAAGAGACTCTAGGGTTTTAGCCAAGGAAGCCTGCTGACCGATTTGACATAGGGTGCGTACGTTGAAGGCTCCAATGTGTAGTTTGGAGCGAGGTTTCAGTAGACCTGGGACAGTGTTTTGAGCACTAGAATCGTTGGCTATGGTGACACTTGAGGAGGAAGCCGAAAAGGAAGTTTAGAGTTGAAAGTCGATGTAGGAGGAATAATAGGAATTGAAGAGGAAGGTTGATTATGAATACAGTGGTCTTGAGTGCTGTTAGAGGTATGAGGGCGGTTATCACTTCCCGGTTGCCCACACCGTGGAAGGGTATTTCTGGAGGTACCTGAAAAGGAAATTGGATTAGAGGCGGTCTCAGTGACCTGAGAGCGTGACCGCAGTGCCCAAGAGACAACTGCTTGAGGCCGGCCGCACCGATCTGTCTGACATAACAGGACCTTGAGGAACGGTTGTTCCAGCCAGTATAGCTCGGTTGCTTCATCACGATAGGCAAGCCCGACCACCACGTCAAGGTAGCAACAACGGTCGGGAGCAGTTTTGCTCTATGCTTGTGAAACCTGGCCTCTTCGAGTTCAGGACGTTAGACGACTCTCCGTGTCCGATCATCGCTGTCTCCGAAGGATTGCTGACATCCAGTGGCAACACAGAGATGATAATGCAATCGATGTCACCATCTTGAAACACCGACTTCGGTGGCTTGGACATGTTCTACGAATGTCGTCCCAGAGAATTCCACGTCGTGCATTATTTGCCGACTCTGGGACTGGTTGGGAAAAGCGGAGAGGTGGTCAGTGCATGATATGGTGTCGTGGCATGAAAGAAAGCTGCAAAGGATTGGCTTGTGTTGGTCCTTCGCGACTCCCTGGTTGGGGTCCGAGAGATGGTGCTACACAGTGGCTAGAGACGTTATCAGATATGGCTCAGAATAGAAGCCAGTGGCGATCCTGCTGTAACCTTCTTCTACTTTCTTCATAAAAAGTGGTTGTGTCTCCCTTAACTGAAAGATTTCTTCTGATTGTACCTTTCCGTTCCCTCATTATTGCTACACTACCTTACACCAATCTCTTCGTTATTGTTCTCTTTTTCTTACGCTCCTTACCTTTTTTCTCTTCGAATTCTGATTGTTTTGTATGTCGCATATATATTGGCGCTCTCTTGTACCAATATTTATGTGTTTAAATAAGTAAATAAATTTAAATAGAGCAATAACAAACATTGATGCAGAATAGTATGAATTCATATTATTTCGAGGTTTCTCGTCAGCTGCTTACAAATTAAAATTGTGATAGAATGTTTTACATGGAGATAAATAAATAAATGCACTAACATAACATTATTCAATGAAATAGCTTACAGTGTTGTCCCAAAGAGTTGATTCGTTCTGTGTCGAGCTTAAAGTTCGAGGAAACTTCATCCGAGCATACTGAAAGAAACATGAGAGTAACGGAACCATTGGCTTGACACTGAATAATAGAACAATATCAATACTAAGCTCTTGAGATACGGGAACGCTTACTATATCAAAAATCCTAGGATTTCGAGTACAACGTCTCTAACTTTGGGTCAAATAGGGGGGGAGGATGTAGACTTCTTAACTAGTTTAATTTAGGCAAGAGAGTGATGTAATAATTTTGTATTTATCGGTTTTCAGATTGTTTTACAGAAGCTCTCCAATATTTGCCCAACTTCCAGTATCAACCCTATCTTTTCTCACACTAGATCTGACTAAATGCTACCCTCAATCTTGTGCGACTGAGCCCCACACCATTTGTTCAAGATTTCAATGTTCATATAGTACCTCTGTATCTCATCTCATCGACGTTTGCTATGTATGTGAAATAATTACACAGGAACTTAGTATGATCATTCCTTTGACCGCATTTAGAATCAATATGATCCAAAATTTGCATATCTGAAGACTCTGCAGAAGCACCTCGTGGTCTTGCATATGCAAGCATATGAATAAACTCGAAGCACTGTACGATTCGACTTTTATCGACAATCACTTGAGTACTGTTCGAATAAAAGAACTCAGAAAAATATCAAAACATCTCATTGGCTCTTCGTCGTTTCTGCTAACACATACACTGACTGCAGCTCAGAAGTTATATCAGTAGATTTCTGATATGTAGTTGGTAATCCTAGCCTCAAAAAAAGCGCGCAAAGTTAAGCTGAAAGATACTTAGACGGGGCATTTACCATACCAATCAAGTGAAAAGGTAACGGTATCTGTTGCAGTGGTGGTTAGGCAACTCAAACATACAGATCGACATTCTCGAACCCAGTGACCCTCAGCATCATTATAGCGACGGGTGCCATTGGTGAAGATCGATAGTCAATCACAAAGTTAAACAAGAAAGGAGAAAGTGGACAGCCCTGACGAACACCACTTGAGGTAATCAATTCTGATGACAGTTCGCCATAAGCTTTCACTCGACCAGTTGTGTTCGAATAAAGAGCCTTTATAAGGTTAATATACTTCTTTGGTACTCCTTTCAGCGACAAACACTGCCACAGAACCTTACGATCAACCGAGTCAAATTCTGCCTTAAGGTCGAGAAATACTACGATTGTGGGGCGTCTGAATGTGTGTCTGTGTTCTAGGACCTGACGTATTGTGAATATCTGGTCTATACAACCACATCCAGGTCGAAAACCAGCCTGATTTTCTCTAGTCTGTTCTTCACGAGCTTCGGTTAGGTGTCGAAGTATTATTGAAGCTAATATTTTAGACACTATATTAGTTAAGCTGATTTCTCTGTGATTGTCATAAGAGGACTTTTGCCCTTCCTCATGGACTGTCACAATCAGTGATGGAGACCAGTCAGATGGGATTACGTCCAGTTCCCAAATTCTACCTAAGACCTCAGTCAATCTCGCTGCTAATACTGGACCGCCATCCTAAAAATCTCAGGAGTGAACCTGTCAGGGCCTGCTGTTTTCCCTCGCTTCAGATTTTCGATAACTTTTACAACTTCATAAAGAGACGGAGGACCTACATTAACTTGCCATTCAGGTTGACTGGAGATCGTGGGAAACCGAAGTGTGGCTGAAATGATCCATAAAGTGTTTTGCCCATCGATCCAATCTCCTGGATTGAGAGTGAATAATACATCCATTTTTTCCGAGATAGTTTCGCTAACAGTTGGGTTCCTAATACCGGTTTCCCTAACGAGTCTGAACAATTGTCTGCTGTTACCTATTGCCGCTGCCTTTTCTATCTCTCTTGCTTTCGCTACCCACCACTGTTCACGATCATTGCGTAGACTTCTTGTCAGCTTGCGCTTAAGCTGACTCCGCTCTTCGTTATGTTTAGATCCAGATGGAATGTGTTTTCGAGCATCTATCAGTGCGGTAGATGCTGCTGAGATCCGGTGTTGCTCCCTAACCTTACGGTTTGCCGTACTAGCAGATATCACTGCTGTTTCCACAGCTTTTCGGGTATCATTCCATGCTGCATCGGGGTGGGCATCACATACATGGCTGCCTAACTGTTTTCCTAGTTGTTCCTGAAATATACTCTTAGTTTGACTATCATTAAACAGGACCCTAAGAGGTCTCCTTGAAGCGTCTTTCCTACGTCCAGTAAGACGCAGACAGATACGTGCTCGTACTAGAGCATGATCTGAATCTAAGCATGTGCTCCAGAATGAGCGACAGTCTTCTATTGAGCCCCTCCATCGGTGGCTGATAGCGATGTGATCTATTTGGATCCAACGTTAGGACGAATTAAGGGGTCGCCATGTTAGAAGATGTTTTTCCTTATGCTTAAAGTTATTATTTGCAAGAAAGAGGCGGTTATCTGAGCATAGCTGCAACAGACGGTCACCAGTATCTGTTCTTTGAGCCACGACACCATAAGATCCACCCAGGTGTCTTTCCCTTTCGCTTAGTTTACCTACTTGAGCATTAAAGTCACCAGCCACAATTACTACATCAGAGCGCCTAGCTTTTAGGAGGAGATCGTAAAGCTTTTTGTAAGATTCATCTTTTACATCTGCGCTGCAGTCAGTGGGAGAATAGGCAGAGACGACGAAGAGGCGACGACGAGTGTCCCTATCTATTCGGATCCTTACTGTTCCGTTCAGTCGGACAGCGCACAAACGACTGTCTACTGGGATCCAGTCTAAGAGAGTTAGTTCTGCCCTAGGACTCAGTGCTATACCTACGCCGGCGAGGCCAAGAGAAGCAGCATCTGGGCTTCCAGATAGACGAAGCGTAAATCGATTTGGTTCTTTGTTTTGACATGGTGATGTCAAATGAATGAAGCTACTCGGATCCTGTATGCGTGTTTCGGAGACGCAGCACACATCGATGGCGCGGGATTCTAAAGTCCTAGCTAAGGAAGCCTGCTGTCCTATTTGGCACAGTGTTCGGACGTTAAAAGCTCCTACGTGTAGTTTACAGCGTGGTTTCAGGAGACCAGGAATAGCGTTCCGCGTACTCGAATCGTTTGCCCTAGCGGTGCGAGATGATAAAGAGACGTGAGAAGTGTTAGTCATTGGGGGTTCCAGTACCAAGCAAAAGTCACTTAAGTAACCCCGCAGACGTGACAGTGACAGGCAAAACAAAAGAGACAAGTTAAAAGTTCGGTGTTTACGAAATAATCTACGAAAACGATAGTCTTGACTGTTTAGGATAACGGACAGACCAACTCAACTACAGCTCAAATACTTTTCAGTCGTCTACTACTCATAAATAGCCTGAATGAGAAACCAAAATTAGGCTTCAACAGTAAAAAAAAAAGCTATAAATAACTGGAAGAGATGAACGTAAAAATATTTCATACACATAGTTCCCTTTATCATTTTGGAAAGAGCAATTTTTGAAGATGTCTGGCTACAGTTGAATATAATTCTGCCGACTATCATTTAGGTGCTGGAATTTGAAAAGCTTATTAAATAAGTACTGTAGGTCGGGGCCGATCACTTATCTAATTTGATTACACAGATGCTTCTAGAAATAGCAGCCTTTGTTCGACACTATATGAAATCGATCTCCTTATCACTACTACTAGTACACCTGTCTTCATAGTATCCATTTGCACTATTTATCTGTTATTTGTAGTCATGCAATCTATTTCAATGTGATCATTGGCTTATAAATCGCCTTGATCGATTTATATTTTCATATAAATATCCATGTATATTAAAGTCTGATGACGACCTAACTTGACACTATTGTTTGTTTATGTTTTGCTCTAATTGATATATCAAATTTACTTATCGACTTAAAGTACCCGGATGACAGTTCAATTTGCTGAGAATGCAGAGGAAATGAAGTCCTTTAAATCTCCTGAGTAAGAATGTAATACTGTTTGAGACCCATTTCTCTCCTCTAAACTTGAAATATTAATTCAGAAATGGTTTGAGTTGCTGTCTGACTAGAACATAGCAATAATAGTAGTTGAGTGCACTGTTAATTTCATTTATTTGGGAAGTTGCATTAGCCTCGAGTGATCGAGGCTTATTAAATCTTGTATAAGGATATAGTACAGGAAGAAAGATTTAGTACGTAGAAAGATATCAACCAATTTTAATCTCTTAGTTTAAGGGAAGACAGAGAGTGTATACACCCACGCCATTGTGATCGATTCTGAGCCATGTCACTAAGAGTCTCCAACCATTCGTTACGATAGTTACGTGGAACCCAACCAAGTAGTCTGCATCTATCAACATGACTCAGACCAGAAGTTAGTGACTTCAAGGACTGACGCCACGTTTTAGGTTGACTGCCAGTAACTTTCGTCCAACCGTCTCCAACACTAGTCAGCATTGCACGTCGTGGTAATCAGTGTTCAGGCACAAGTAACACGTGGACCAACCATCTCAGTCGATGAAGATTTACAACCTCATCAAATGATTCCCTAATACCCTGTGTCTAACCTCACTATTACTTACTCGACGATCCCAGCAGATGAGAGCAATCTTTGATCAAATAATAGTAACTTACGAGTATCTTCTAATCTTAATGGCCACGTTTCTCAGCCGTAAAGTAGAACAGAACAGTCACGCAGTATACTCATCCCTTAATTGACAGACGGATATCGCTTTCGTCATAGGTGACGTAAGTTGGCAAAAGCCAAACGAGCTTTCTGAATCCGTACAGAGATTTCGTCAGACACCAACCCATTAGGGCTGATCAGACCTACAAGATAAGTGAAGTCATCGACCAGTTCCACTACTTTACTACCTGTCCCTAGTTCAGGTGTTGACGCAGGCCAGTTCTAGCATTGCTGCTCAGTGCTACCAAAAGACTGCATTTTATCAGTGTCTTCACCAAACAGGACTATATCATCTGCGTATTCTAAGCCGATAAGTGGACCTCCTGGTAGGAGACCAATACCTGAAAATTCAGTCGACGAGAACATTATTTCCATCAACACGTCTATGATGAAGTTTAGCAAAAATAGAAATATTGGACAGTCTTGACGGACACCACTTGGGGTTGCAAAATCAGATGACATTTCGCCATAAGCTCTGATTCGACTGGTAGAGTTCGAATAAAAAGCCCTCACAAGGTTTATGTACTACTGAGGAAAACCTTTCAATGACAGACACTGCTACAGAACCTCTTGGTCAACAGAGTCAAATTCTGCTTTTAAGTCAAGAAAGACCACCATTGTCGGACGCCGATAAGTATGCCTGTGTTCTAAAATCCGACGAATGAGAATACGTAGTCGATGCAGCCACGACCAGGTCTAAAGCCAGCCTGATTTTTTCGTGTTTGCAGGATTTAAACTAATGGGCCACCTAGGAATGATAGTGGATATCTATAATCTTTATGAGAATAAAAAAACATTGTGATCGTGGAAGTAATATTCAACAAGTTGCCGTTGACTACGTTTTCGTTGGAAATTTTACATTCGGAGTGGAGTCCGCAGGTGACAGATGTTTATCTAAAGAAACAAGTGCAATGTTTCTTGCACTAGAGAGAACAAACGCAACATCGAATTATAAAAGACGACGACCTATTATTGTGTACAGATGAATTAAACATAGTCCATATTTCAAATGTCTGATATAAAACATTTTTATTAAAACGGATACTTACAACAATAGGGAAAAAATCCACCCCAAAAAGGTTATGCATCTGGGCTACCTTGAGATACTGAAGTTCCGCCTTGTCTCTGTAATATTATTTAAAATGGAAAGTGATGTTAAAAACAAACCGATTCATTCCCTTGTGGGATTTATAATGTTCCCGAAACTTCTGTGTTACACCTTGAGTGGACTGTATTTGGGTCCATAGTTGAGCTGGGATTAATCTGAGAATACGGCGTGGTAAGTATGTGAGTTCCTCTGTATCACTAAGCTCTTCCTCGCAAAGATCACCGTATTCTGCCTACAAAAAATATTGACTCTAAAAGTAAAACTAGTTTTTTTTAAATATATATAACTGGCAAATTCAATAATCAACAGACCATCTCTAAGATGGTCAGAAGACCCAGCATTTTTCTCAACGTCTTCACCAAACAAAACTATATCATTTGCGTATTCTAAGTCAACAAGTGAATCTCTTAATGAAAGATGAGCTCCTGAAAAGTCAGACGATGAGAGCATTATATCTTAACAGACATATATGATAAAGTCAAATGAAAATAGAAAAAGCAGACGACACATCTTCAGCTTTTGTTATCCACGACTGCCCATGACCATTGAGTAGCCTTTTCATCAATCTGCGATCAGGCTGCCTCCTCTCCTTATCGTTTTCAAAGCTTGATGAAACCGAGAACCGATCAGCTACGTAGACGCTAGAGAAATCCAGTGATTTTTCTTAAACTGGTGGTTTTAACTACTGTTAGATAACACTGCTCATGTGTTTGGTCATCATGTCAAGCTACCTCGGGGTGGATATCACTTTCATGCCTGATTAACTCCTTTAGTTGTTCCTGGAAAATATTCTTGGTTTTTTAATCACTAAGCCGGACTCCGAGAGGTTTCCTGCTGTGACTTTTCTGCGTTCAGTGAGACAGATAAACACGTGGTCGTACGTGCTCCAAAATAAGCCCCAGTCTTATCAAGTTTCTTCAAAGATAGCTGATTGCAACATGGTATATTTGTATCCATTGTTAAGCCAATTTTAGGTCAGCATTTTAGGCAATGTCTCTGTTTATACTTGAAGTTAGTTCCAGTTAGAAATAAGCGGTTTTCTGAGCATAGTCAAAGGTGGTCTCTATGAGCTATTATTAGCTGAGCTGGTGCAACGTGATACCCACACAAGTACCTTTCAGTTGGCATAGGATTACCCACATAGTAAAATTACCTGCTACGAGTACTATATCTGAGTGTCTAGTGTTTTAGGGATGAAAAGCCTTCCATGAATGTTCATTTTTTAAATTCATCTGAACTACAATTATTGAGAACGCAGGGATAGGCAATGATGAGACAACGACGTGTCCCTATATCCCCGAGTTTTGTTATCTCGTTTAGTCGAACAACACGCAAGCGCCTATCTAGCAGAATCCGGTCAAGGAATACCTGTTCCGTTTTTGAACCTAGTGCTGTACCTACACCGGTGAAGTCACAGGAAGTATTAGTGGGGTCTCCAGATACACAGGGTAAATCACCCTGATTGAATTGTGTTCAAACAGATTACCACACTTGAATTTTGTATGCATGTATCGAAGATACAACACACGTCGATAGCGCGATATTCTAGAGTCCTAGTCAGGGAAGTCTGTGATAATATTTGACATAAGTTTCGAACACTCAGAGCTCCTAAATGTAGTTCAGAACGGTTTCTTTTAGTGGGATATAAATTTGGTTAATTAATTAATTTATTTATTTGAACATATAATATTGGTACAAGGCGGCACCAGATATATATGCGCCGAATAAATTTCATTTGGTTTGTGTGAGGGCTGTGATCCTACCCGTGTGCCAAACCGAAGCAGGTGGTTTTCTTGGGGGGCCACACCCCGAGCCTTTGACCTAAAGGTCTAATCCACAAGGCAGTGGAGCATCGTAAGGAGATGCAGTCCCATGGTAACTGGTGACCAACGATCGGATCATACGCCAGTTGTTCCTGCGGGATACTGGAGCCCATGTGCACCATTGGTTTGGAATCCGGTTAAAGCGACGGACATTCGCTTTTCGTCCTCTCAATTTCGTAAACAACACCCTCGTCACGAGAAGGTAGTGAGTAGAAGTTCCCTGGCAGAGGCTGTATACGCGTGGCCGTGTGAGAGCATTTCGAGAGGGAGAGCGGGCCCACCCCGCTCTTAGCCATACCAGGGCAATTGGGGGCTACGTAAGGAGGTGCACTCCCATGGTAACCGGTGACCAATAAATGGTTCATACGGCAGTTTTGATTGCAGCACGTTGCGTACAGGATTGTGTTGGGGCACGTCGATTGGCTAGTTCTTATCCAATCAGCGCTAGTGAATACTTGGAGAAGACTCTAGTCTCATGTAAAAACCATAAATATACTAACGTTTCTTTTAATGGGATTCCTATTTCCATTCAACCTTTTATGTGGAATATAATTACGTCCCTGTTCAACCGTGTTCTGAGTTGGGACTTGTCGAGTGAAGTAGTGTCCAAGAATACTGAGCAATAGTAGCTAGGTCTTAGTAACAGAAAGTAAAAGTTTCATAAAACCAGGATCTAGCCCGTAAACACTAATCGGGCATGAGGATAAGGCTAATGTTATAGGAAACGGGCAGGTAGTAGTGAAAGAAGTTTCTCGAGTTTGTTAGACGTATGAAGGCGATTACCAATTTTCAGTTTTCTACTCCATGGAAGGATACTTCTTGAAGTACATGGAATAAAAACTGAATTAGCAATAGCCTTGAGGAACTGGGAGGGCGATCTCAACGCTCGTAGAGCAACTTCAGACCGGTCTCGTGTGAGTTTTGTAACGTGATAGCTCTGTTCTTCAAATGACCCTGCCGCCTGAAATCTATAGTGTAATATGAAGTGTGATACTCTAAGGGTCGATCTTTCGTTGTGAGAAGTCAGTATCACTATAAATCCTGGTCACCCACGGGTAACACCTTGCCTTAACACCTCGCACCTTCGTACAGTCAGCGGTACAACTTAGCCCTCGGACCTTGGGCTCTTGCGTTTAGTCTATCATTTTTCCAAGCAAACTCTGTAATGATCGAAACAATTGTTTCAGCCAATATAGCTCGATTGGGTGCCGATATCTTGTACCAGTGTTTTACAAATCACAAAATGACCTGCATATTTTTCTCAGCATCTATCGTAAGAAGCTCGAAATTCATATGTGAGAATCTAGTTTGAACTTTATTGTAAAGAGGAAAAGCTACTCAGTTTTAGATGGGATATAGGGATTTTTATTCTTCGGATTGAAGTTTGTACAGTTTTTTTTAGTATATTTCAGGTTTTTACTCACTGAACTACAAGACAGACAAATCGCTTATGATTTCCGAAACCAATATTTCAAACTACTGTTCATGAGCAGTCAAACTTAACGCAGATTATATGACTAAACTATTCTTTAAAGATGGTTCTTTCTGTATAAAAATGTTAAAGATCTTACATTAGTGAAATATGCTCCCAACATCCAGCTGTTCCGATACTTATTAACAAGCATCTATATGTAAAGTGAACAATCTCAAGAAGAAAAAATAAGACGGAGATTCTTGGAAACCACCTTGGATACAACTTCACTGATCTTCCTCAACTGAAGATGTAAAAATTTAAGTCTAGGTGTTCTTATAAACGGAAATATAAGTTTAGATGACATGTGCTTCCGCTTTGATTATAAAGTGTAAAAGACGAGAGAAATTGAAATCAATGCAGTAAGAGATTATCTTCAAAGCATTGGGCGAAATGTGCTAAACTAACCTGAGAAGCCAATGAGGCAAGAAGAATAGCCACATCGAGGGACGGACAAAGATCGCCTGGATCAAAAAGGAAGAGTTTCGTACAACAATTAGTCAGAATCAAAGCACCTGATTGTCAATTCATCAATACTGCTGAAAAAGGGAGATTTTTAACTACGAACTGCAAAACCTTTTATGCTACTTCAAGTAGCCTATACTGAGAATACTCAAACAAGATCTTTTCACGGATGCTAGTGAGCCAAACTTAAACATGGTTTTTCACTTTCTATCAAGTAAATATCAAGGCAGTCTATTATCGAAAATGTCAACTCCAACTGCCGTTCATCAATGGCTTCCTACCATTTATTTAATTTCGTCATGACAATTTCTTCATCTAACTTCTCAGGGGATGGTCTTTCACTAGGTGACTAACTTATCAACCGAAAATGCACTAATGACAAAGTTACATTTGAAGATGGTGAAAAAAATATAGCCTACAATCTAAGAAGTTTGGGATGTATTTCTTTCTTTCGAAATGCGAAATGGTGCTTTCTAACTGATCTGCGTCAACGCCTGAACTAATAATACTAGGTCAGTCATCAACAACGTAGGACCAGGCACATATGTGCATCGGTCCAAATTGACACACCTCATTAGCACATGAAGATGAACACTAAATTCGTAGAACCAGTTACTTCAATGGTAGTAATGTATAAAAAAGATTGTGTATAAGGATATAGTACAGGAAGAAAGATTTAGTACGTAGAAAGATATCAACCAATTTTAATCTCTTAGTTTAAGGGAAGACAGAGAGTGTATACACCCACGCCATTGTGATCGATTCTGAGCCATGTCACTAAGAGTCTCCAACCATTCGTTACGATAGTTACGTGGAACCCAACCAAGTAGTCTGCATCTATCAACATGACTCAGACCAGAAGTTAGTGACTTCAAGGACTGACGCCACGTTTTAGTTTGACTGCCAGTAACTTTCGTCCAACCGTCTCCAACACTAGTCAGCATTGCACGTCGTGGTAATCAGTGTTCAGGCACAAGTAACACGTGGACCAACCATCTCAGTCGATGAAGATTTACAACCTCATCAAATGATTCCCTAATACCCTGTGTCTAACCTCACTATTACTTACTCGACGATCCCAGCAGATGAGAGCAATCTTTGATCAAATAATAGTAACTTACGAGTATCTTCTACTCCGGCAACATAGGTCAGACTGTCCTGCCCTCCATGGCCGGTGACGACTGATCCACCAAATGAGGCGGAAGTCCGCAAGGAACTCCAACTCTTGAAGCGTTACAAATCACCTGGCACAGATGACTTACCTCCGGCTCTTTTTAAAGATGGTGGTGACTTTCTGACTAAGGAATTGACGACGTTGTTTACAAAGGTTTGGGAACTAGAGAGTGTACCAACGTCATGGAATGAGTCGATAGTTTTCCCTATCTTTAAAAAGGGTTCACGTCGTTCCTGTAACAACTATCGGGGGATAAGTCTACTTCCGATTGCGTCCAAGCTATTGGCTTCCGTCATACTTCGTAGGTTGTTCAAAACCCGAGAGAGATTGACTCGCGAGGAGCAGGCTGGGTTTCGTTCTGGTCGAGGATGTATTGATCATATCTTCACCCTCCGCCAAATGTTAGAACACCGTCATACTTATCAAAAGCCAACAATCGTAGTGTTTCTTGACATCAGGGCTGCCTTCGATTCGTTGGACAGGACTGTTCTCTGGGATTGTCTATTGAAGAAGGGTGTGCTTGAGAAGTTTATTAACATCCTAAAAGCCCTATATACAAACACCTCAGGCAGAGTGAGGGCATACAACTACTTCCCTCCATTGTTCCATTCGAGCAGTGGGGTTAGGCAGGGTTGCCCAACCTCACCATTCCTCTTCAACTTTGTCATCGATGACATTCTGGAAACAGCTCTGATGGATGTAAGTAATGGTGGTGTGGATCTGTTGCCTGGAGAAAGACTTCTCGATCTTGAGTATGCGGATGATATTGTCTTACTGTGCGACAATGCCCAAGCCATGCAATCCGCACTTAATCAGTGTCCGTAGGTATGGTATGTGCTTTGCACCATCGAACTGAAAAGTACTTCTACAAGACTGGCAGGATTCCAATCCTGTACTCACCCTGGACAGTGAGCAGATAGAAATAGTTGAGAAGTTCGTGTATCTGGGTAGCTGCATAAGTGCTGGTGGGGGTGTGAGTGATGAGATCAATGCACGAATAGTGAAAGCCAGAGCGGCTTATGCCAATCTTGGCCACCTTTGGCGCCTTCGTGATGTTAGTCTGGCTGTAAAAGGTCGGATCTACAACGCGTCAGTGAGAGCAGTTTTGCTCTATGCTTGTGAAACCTGGCCTCTCCGAGTTGAGGACGTTAGACGACTCTCCGTGTCCGATCATCGCTGTCTCCGAAGGATTGCTGACATCCAGTGGCAACACAGAGATGATAATGCAATCGATGTCACCATCTTGAAACACCGACTTCGGTGGCTTGGACATGTTCTACGAATGTCGTCCCAGAGAATTCCACGTCGTGCATTATTTGCCGACTCTGGGACTGGTTGGGAAAAGCGGAGAGGTGGTCAGTGCATGATATGGTGTCGTGGCATGAAAGAAAGCTGCAAAGGATTGGCTTGTGTTGGTCCTTCGCGACTCCCTGGTTGGGGTCCGAGAGATGGTGCTACACAGTGGCTAGAGACGTTATCAGATATGGCTCAGAATAGAAGCCAGTGGCGATCCTGCTGTAACCTTCTTCTACTTTCTTCATAAAAAGTGGTTGTGTCTCCCTTAACTGAAAGATTTCTTCTGATTGTACCTTTCCGTTCCCTCATTATTGCTACACTACCTTACACCAATCTCTTCGTTATTGTTCTCTTTTTCTTACGCTCCTTACCTTTTTTCTCTTCGAATTCTGATTGTTTTGTATGTCGCATATATATTGGCGCTCTCTTGTACCAATATTTATGTGTTCAAATAAATAAATAAATCTTCTACTCTTAATGGCCACGTTTCTCAGCCGTAAAGTAGAACAGAACAGTCACGCAGTATACTCATCCCTTAATTGACAGACGGATATCGCTTTCGTCATAGGTGACGTAAGTTGGCAAAAGCCAAACGAGCTTTCTGAATCCGTACAGAGATTTCGTCAGACACCAACCCATTAGGGCTGATCAGACCTACAAGATAAGTGAAGTCATCGACCAGTTCCACTACTTTACTACCTGTCCCTAGTTCAGGTGTTGACGCAGGCCAGTTCTAAAGCAACAACTTGCATTTAGAGTTGGAGAAATGAATTCCAAACATTCTAGCATTGCTGCTCAGTGCTACCAAAAGACTGCATTTTATCAGTGTCTTCACCAAACAGGACTATGTCATCTTTGTATTCTAAGTCGATAAGTGGACCTCGTGGTAGGAGACCAATACCCGAAAATTCAGTCGACGAGAATGTCATTTCTCGCTGTAGGTTTATGACGGAATTACACAAAAATGGGTATAGTGGACAACCTTGCCGAACTTATGATGTGGGATGAAGTTGTTGAGCGTATCGACCTATATTCGAGGTTTCATCAGCCCTGGTGATGGGCTTACATCTGAAGAAATCTCGTCACGAACTCGGAAAGCTTGGTTGACTTTTCCCATTGAGTCACTTGTGGTGTAGGCCCGATATCCGTCTATCAACCAAAGGACGAGTACAGTGGGCAGTAATTCACTTTGTTTTACTTCATAGCCGTGAAATGTAACCTTTAAAAATAAAGCATATTCCTGGGTTACTAATGTTTGTTAACGGATACAACCGGACCAGTGCTCGTATATGTTGGGACCAACGAGTGAGCAATGCTGAGGTAAGATGTAGAGTACTGGGTGAATAACAGGTTGTTACAGCTGACTTAGTCAATAACTTGTTTCTCTAAATCTGTTTCTAATTATAAGGGTGTACAAATTCAATCTTCAAAAAAATCCCATTTAATTCCAGATAGTTTATCTGCTGTATTTATGTATGTGTTCAGTTATTGGTTTTTTACACTTTTCTTTCCTCCTTTTTGTGGACAAAACTTGTTTACATACTTTTTGCTGGAAATTTTATATTGTACCAGGAATATAATATTGAATAAAGCCACTATTAACGATAAGTAAACGACTTGACAAGCAGTTATATGCTGAGAAACATAGGCATGCATAACTGGGGTTTATGGTAAACATGATTAAAATAAAATGGAAAGTGTTTCGAAACTGAATAAAACATAGGCTATTGACACATAGGTATAACCCTAAACCTACCAAAACAATTTCCATTCATATTGGATTCGCTTCGATTTAAAATGGTGGATTTGACACTTAAATAGAACAGACGACGAGTTGTAGCTTGTATTAGTTCCTGTTCAACATCTTCAGGAAAGAATTTGGTGTGAAAAAAGAAGCAAAGAGACTTAGAGATATCTTCTGGTTTTTGTGAAACAATCTAAAAGTCAGTAGTTGAGAAAATATTGGATCACCTTTTTATCTAATTTAAGCCAGTGAGAAAGTTGCATTCTTCCATTTGGAAAGAAGCTATAAAATTGTAATCCGAAATACCACGTTTCTCTCAAGCCAATTGTACTGCAGACTAGATCGAAGAGGTATTTTCCTGTGCTTTTAGGCTGGAGCAAAGGTGCTTATTGTAGAAATAAAACATACCGATATGTTAAACTCCAACTCAGACTCATGCAGTGTTACTCTGATCTTCAAACATTTAGCATCCGAATTATTCCACTTCATCGAATGCTAAAATCTGCCGTAATATTATCAATCAATGCTGAATTAACACAACTTTCAGGTACTTGAATAAATTTGTGCTAAAGAATGTGGCGAAATATTCGACCACATGAAGTTCAAGGAAACAAGATAAAAAAGTGTATTTGAACTTATGGGATTGATTCAGCGCAGCACACCATATCGTAACAGTCTCGATGGTGCTGACTAGTGTTCCAGATGCTAAGCTTATCTAGTGAATAATGAGATTAGATCCATCTTATTCAGCTACGTTAACCCAAAGCACTACAAGTCAACCATACTTAGATGCTTTAACGAACAAACTGATATAACAAATCGAAATACATAGCACAAATCTACAAACATATCACTAAATACCTTTAGTATGAGTATTTATGAGCCGATCGTCGACAAGTACACACAAACCAGACTTTAGGGCTAGTGGAGCAAAGCAGCATACATTCAAAAACCCTAGCGACGTGAAAAACCACTCTGATAGGTTAACTCGGAGTTTTTAAAGATGATAAACCAGTTTCAACAGCACGGCTACTTGCAACGTCTACTAGTCTAGGCGTTGTACAAACCCTACCTAATTGATCTCGAACACCGACAGTTTTCGTATTTAAGAAAGGACAGGAAACACCTTGTGATAGCCACAAAGGGATCGATCTGATCAATGAAGAATTCTAAATACTAGTTTTCATAGTTATTATCTAACTGGAGTTCATGGACAGTAAATACTAGAAGTCCAGGCTGGTTCAAAATGAGAACCTGTCCTACAACACGGCAGTGCTCTGAAATCAAAGAATTGTCTACAAAATTGTTCGTAAGTATAGCTAAAAAATATTTATACATCTCAACCCTTATATCTACTATCAGCTGTCCTCAACCATTTAGACTTATTGTAATTAGTAATTTACTAGTCACTTTGGAACTTATTGTTCACTGTAACTCTTTAAGGCTTTAGCTTTATGTGACCAACCCATATTTTGTAAAAGTCATACAGACTTTACGCAAACTACCTCCACTACTGCCTAAGAATAGTCTATAGACCTCAAGGTCAGTACTAACGTCGGAAGTGCAGTTTATTCGAACCTCTCTTTCAAATTACCATTAGAGTAAACGCATAAAGTGGTGATGATGTTTAGAGAATGAGTTCTACTTTCAAGAACTCTGATATGGCTTTTTCGCCTAATTTTATCTCAGAAATTAAATTACCTATCATGGTAATTATAGGCTGTCTTGTAGTCATGGCGAAAAACCAGTTCATTTAAGAGTAAGAACGTTAATCTAGGTCGTAGACACCAGTATTTTAATTTCATTAGACATGTGCAGTATATCTAATATATCTTTAATGAGCTAGTTCTGAAGTAATCATAATAATGATAGAACCGAGAGTAATCGTAGAAATCTGCAGTTCTGACAGGTGACTTTTTTGAGAATTAGTGAGATCGACTGATGCAGCTGAGAGGTTTGTAGCAGCTGAATTTCAATAGTACCGGAGCACTGTGAACACCATATTTGGGGATTTACTCGAACGATAATATCCCCCATCTGGTTGGTTTCGAGATCAGGCTCTTGAATTAAGTAATTCCCAAATATAGATGCTTAGTTCGTAAGTACCACTGTTGCTGATTGTCTTAATTTTTATAGGCACGTCACTAGCTGAAGAGATTCAGTCAAGTATCCTAACAAGTTCAGGTTTGTTTCGTCGCAAAACACATTGGTGATAACTAGCTAAAGTAAAAGTTCTGCACTAAGATATTTCTGTCTACTGTTCAATAATTCCTAACACTCAACCTGGATTAACTATCCTAGAAACATTTCGACAGAAGGTAGTGAGAAACCTATACGGCCAGATTCCCCACTACCCGCTCTTATTTGATTGATAAGCTTGACGTGACATAGAACATGGAAGGATAGTTTACGGGTGAATTTATCCGCAACGCTTCTGTTCCTCATCCCAAAGTTATTATGCATTTTTCCCACACTGTGACGCAATGTTTTTTATATTCTGGAACTATTTCCCAACACTTAATCTCCTCTGATGATGAATATATTTTAAAATTAATTCGAATAAAAATCTCGCGTCATCTGCCTCAGAAATCATATTGTTCTGACCTGGAAATATCGAAGTTTAGTCCCAATATTCAGAAACATATTCTTAAATTCGATGTAATCCGACGACGAGCACAGTTTCTTGTATTTGTCAAAACACTGCCGTGGGAGTTGAACCAGTACACTGGGTCGAACACGTTTGCTAACACAACTCCACACAATATGAGATTTTGAGGACGACTGCTTTTGAATAAAAAGACCTATAGACTGGTAGAGCGCATATCATCACTCACGTTGAAGAACTGAAAATATATGACTGTTCAATAACCGTTATGTTTAATATCATCAATTTCACTGTGCTTTGATTTGGTATCTTCAGAGTTCTTCTCTGGAAGCCTAAAAATTGAAGGTTCTTTGTGCAACTGTTGTAATTATTATTAGAACGATTAATTTGGATTGATTCCTTGTAATTTGTAAATGAATTTTGTACCTGATTTGGAATTTGACTCTCTTGTTATTTAGGTCGTCAATTACAGGTGGATCAATTGACCGTACTATAGTAGCGGACTAGAGCAAAATTTGAACGTAACACTCATTTTATATATTATATAAGATATTTCATTAGTAAAGTTATGAAGTAGGAAACATTAGTTTAATCTTGGATATTTACAAATAGGTAGGCATCTATTACCGTCTGAGAGCTCCACAATCCTGAACCGGCCACCTATCCTCTCCATTTTTCTACAGAAGATTATGTTAGGGTGGCGTTCAGTAGTTGTCATGGGATGATTTCCAAACTTTAGAAGGCGGTCAAAATCGGGCTAATATCCTATATCTCGCAATCGCAAAAGCCACTTCCTATGCGATCGTAGGAATTATCACACTGTCGAAAGGTTGATGATTAGCTTTGGTTAAAATCAGAAATCTCATGACTATAGCCAGTAACTTTCCAACCGCTACTGGTACGGTTCATATTTAACTCGGTGGAATGACTTGGCTTTGCTTGTTATGTCCTTACCACATAATCCTCAAAGCTGAACATGCAATAACTGGGAAAATGTCTATTCAACAATTAACATGGAGAGAAAATCAACAATGGAGAAAGCGGGAAGAATTAGTTGAACTGAATAGAATGGCATGGCTCATGACAATTCTTGTGTTACTTATCTTTTTTGTTTGATATTGAATAAATTGCTCTATCCCTAGCCTGGGTGTATCCTCCAGAAGTAGGTAACATCATACTGGTCATTCTTACGGCAGAACAAGTTAGTTTAGACAATGGTGTGATTTTCATGTAAGATCTTTAAGATAAGGTAATCATATCATGACAAATGTGCGATTTAAGGAGTAGGCCTGATATTATAATAGTACTAGTAACGAACTAGACCATGATTCTACGAGCTCATTGTTGATTCATCTGGCTGGTTTCGCACTAAACGTCCAGTAGTGCCCGTAAGTATGTTCAAATTGTATGAACGATAACGACAGTTTTTGCGTTCTTTATTTTTTTGCTTGGGGTATCCTGCTCGAATTTCTTTTAACCAGTTGCATCTAGACTACTTTCTCTTTGAGGCTTGTGATGCACGCGATAAGATTTACAATGATTGGGCTTTAAAATGTTTGTAAATTTTGATTATGGTGCATCGTACGTGATTCGGCTGCGAGAACCCACTCCGTGACACAAAATGAGATACATCTCAGGTGGTATAGTAAAGTTTTCAGATTTAATATATTCGCAGTCCTGTACGTAGCATGAAAGAGCTTGGATCCATCCTTATCTTAGCACTGTTTCACCTACGACATTTTACTGACCGAAAGTCGAAGGTATAGTTAGAATCAAGGTGATGACCTAACATTTCGTTTTTCCTTAGAAAACCCATATGAACCTTTGATCATCTGATGAAGAAAAACGACTTCTCATCTCTTAACCTATGAATGAATACGGTCCTACAGCTTTATTTTTTGTAGATGTTTGAATGTAGGACCGGCTAGACTGTTCACTTGTTGGGTCACTAGCCATATATTTTGTTGACTGACATAATTTATGCTGAGTGGTGGTCTCCAAAGGAAGTTGGGGATCAGTGTTTATGACTGTACGCCCCTCAATCCATTTCCATATGAAGTGCTTTTTTGAGCGATACCGTGATTCGTGAGGTTCAGAATAATTTATCTGGCAGAACTAGGTAGCATTCTGTTTTTGACGTAATAAAGGATTGGAACTGTATGTTGATATGTTTCAAGCAGTAGCATATGTGTAGAATTACGGTCTACTTCGTTGTTAGCATTGCTCTATCAATAGACCTAATCCTAAGATTTTAGATTTGTCATGATATAACTGCCTAATCTTTAAGATCTTATGTAGAAAACACTCCATTGTTTACACTGAAATATCGTGTCGTAACAATCACCAATACATGATGGAGAGCACGTTTTGGCTGGAGATAGAACAATATATTTAATATGAATAATATATATGACAACACACAAGAGTGACCAAACCTGCAAGGCTGAACCCATCCGATGAGCTGAATTCCGAATGAATGTTGCTGTGTTCACCATTAATGACCTTCTTTTGTTGTTACGTGTTGAAAATCTACTTTCCCAGTTTTCTCGTGTTCAGCTTCAAGGATTGTGGTCAGGATTCAATGTCACTACGGTTTCCGAAAATATAGATGAGAGATTTTACTACTACAATGAGGCTGTCTCTAACTTGTTTAAGGGACCATTCAAAAATGTCTGTTACAGCGAATATGTCAGACGCTAGATAGCGATATTTTCACTTACTGATTTATTGTCAACGAAGGCGATTCATTATTGCTGTTGAAATGGCTTCGAGAAGCACATTGTAGCATACAGGGGCTCCTTAGTAGCTGAAGAGTTCCTATGTATTCCGAACTTGATGGAATATCCCAGATTATCAAAGTGGCACTCTATAATTGGACAGCTAC